GAAGAAGAGAATCCGGTAAAAGGTAAGCTTGATGGCGCGTGGGATGGTCTTGCGAGGGTTTTGAGCTTCGCCAACCGTCACACCGATAAGCTCAGTTCCAAGGTAGGCGAAGACGGCGTTGACCAAAGAGCTCCAGAAGCCGTAAAATTTGCCTTCACTGCCGGAAGCAATATACGGTCTGAAGGCACCTGGATTGTTGTAGTACTTGAAGCCAGTTGCACCGCCAGGGCCGGCGCCGACTGCCAACAAGAAGGAGAGGAGAATGATGCCAACAATGGTAATGACTTTGATGGAGCTGAGCCAGAACTCAAGTTCACCAAAGAACTTGATACCAAAGTAGTTGATGGCGCAAATGGCAACGAGGAAGATGGCGATCCAAACACCAGGATTGACCTCTTCTCGGGATTTCCATTCTTGGATGATCAGAGCAGAAGCGGTCAATTGATTGGGCGTTGTAATGATGTATTTGGCAAAATAGCACCAACTTGGCGATGTTAGTGGTGTGACAAGAAAGAACAAAAGGCTTTGGAGGAAATGCTTACCCGAGAGCAAAGCCGAGAGCAGGATCACAGAAACGAGTGGCGTAACCAGCGAAACCGGAAGCGTGGGGAATCCAAGCGGCCATTTCGCCAAGAGCTGTCATGACGACGTAGACGATGAGACCGACGAGAGTGTAAGCAATGAGGATCGAGGCAGGACTGAAGACTTGTTAGCTGTTTGGCCAAGGCTGGGGATTTGCACAACATACCCAGACTGGGCCAAAGCCTTTCCGGTACCAATGATGAGACCGGTTCCGATGGCACCACCAATGGCAATCATAGTAATGTGTCGCGACTTGAGACCGCGGTGCAGGTGGCCGCTGTCGGTGTGGACAGCAACACCATCGGCGTCGACGTGCACATCACCGGTCTGGTACTCGGACTTGCCGCCATACTCAATGTCTGGGCTTCCCGAGCCGCCGTCGGAGGAGTTTGTCTTGCGGTTTGTGATGGCCATGTTGGGCAAGCGATGGCGATGCGGATAGCAGAATGGGAGTCTTCTGTATCGCACAAGTGGTGGCGGAGGGCCGCACCGGGGTTAGCAGGGCACAAACTTGAAGGAGTGAAGCTCCAAGGCACAGCTGACGGGTCAGTGAAAGGGCGGGCTGGCTGGCTTCAAATAGACCATGGACTTAAGCGCGGCTGGCAGGGTGAAGGCTCTGAGCGGCCCAAGAGATAGTGATTATTAGCCGACTGTGATAAGACCGACCAGGCGGAGAGGAGCAAATAGTCGACCCACGGGACTACTGATAACAAGCTGTCGGCGAAGCGTGATTGCAGCATACGAGCAACCCCATGGCGGCCAAGCGTCCGCTTTGGTGGAGTGGTGGGGGAGGGCGGCGCGCTCAGGCCCAATGCGCGGTCGTGTGTGGCACTGCGCGCCGCTCGGCTGAGGGCGTTGTGGTGGTGCGCCAGGCTTGCTTGCCGACATCTCCTTCTCGATGGAGGATGGGGTGGTGGGACAGGCCCTGTCGGAGAGGGCTTGGCTGGAGGCTGGGCAAAAGCGAGCCAAGTTTCCAGGCTATCCTTAATTCGCTGACAGGCTGGTGTTGAGTGATTTGTCCACGACTGGCGCGCCGACTGCACCTCGCCCTCGTCAGGCTTCCCCAGCCCAGCCAGGCGGACCGACTGTCGAGCACCGATTCAGACGAGCGATACCGTGGACTGGGAGCCCGCTGGCCTGGGCGGCAGGGTTGCAGGGTTGCAGAGGTGAGAGGTGCAGGTGGCAGTGAAGGTCCGCCGCGGCCATGTTGCCCCGCGTTAAGCACGCGGGTCGTGCGTGAACGGCAAACTTGTCTGCATGTGCATGTCAGAAAGCTGGCCCTCTCGCTCTGCACTCAGCGGCCGGCGCTGCCCATTGACTCGGGCTAGCGCTGCTGAAGCCACCCGTTGGTATCGCCACACGCCCACGACAAGACGACATCCAAAGCCAGCCCGCCGTTGCGTGCTCACTTGCCCTATGTGAACAGTGCACTGTCATGGTACACACGCAGTACACGCCTGCGTCAAACTCTGTCAGCCTTGTTATCATGGCACGTATGTAATACTTACTACTACAAACTATGCACTTAGGAGTATGTACAGTAGGTAAGCTTCTAGCTTGCTTGCCTGCCCGCCCGCCCAGCACCAGCCAGTAAGCACAACACCGGGAAACATCATCGTGGGCGCCAAGCACAACACCTCTTTTTTTCTTCTTCTCTGAACACACAGCCGGTGTCTCCGTGGCTCTGCAGGTGCATGGGTCAGTGTCGACCCGGGACCTGTTATCTGCCTGGCCGTGAGTAGGGCACTGTTTCGAACGTTCTAGCTCCCGAACCCAGCCCGCTAGGCGCATTCGAGAAAACTGCCTTGACTGCGGCGAAACCGAGCAACGGGCAGCAGCAGCGTACGCCTATCATCTCGAGACTGCGTATAAACACCGTCAGGTGATCCCTCATTCGTCAGCCTGCCAGCCTGCCACACATTGCACAAGCCGGACATGGCTACTCTGGGCCCTGGTGCCAGTCCATTTCCAGCACCACAGCAAATGCCAAACACCACACCGCACACTACAAACAGCCATTGTCTTAGCCAACATCTCCCTGCCTTGGCTGCTCCCTACTCCGGAATAGGTGACCGTCACTGAGCCTGAGCCTTTACCTGCCAAGCCCATTTTTCAACATGTCACTGCAAGTAGACTGGCTGCACGCCACACACCACGTCCGTGCTCGTCCAGATAGCCCAGCAATGTGTTTGTCGTCGTGTCTGTTCCGTCAAATTCTCGTTCTTGGAATCTATTACTACGAAAAACTCAATCATGTGCTCGTCTCAATGCTCGACGTCGCTTTTGTCGTATATGCTGACTCGGCATCCACTTTGAAAAAAATATACTGAGTCAAGTGGTGAGTAGGCTACAATCTAGCCCAGCGATCAATCTCACCAATCTTCAAAAATGACCCCCATGGCCATTGCCATGCTGTGCGTTGAAGAGATGTGTAGATGTGCGTTCTGTTCACAGCAACCACAATGCTGCTCTTATGCCGGTGTGAAGCGAAACAAGTCCCAGGCTTGGCATTTCGTAATAACCTCCAAGGTGTATCGTGCCGATTGCTCAGCTAGCGGTAACGAGCCGTAGCCAAGAGTTCCATAAGGCCCACAGAATGAGAAGGAGTGTTTGGAGATTGGGTATGCCTACGCTAAGGTAATAAGTAACCCCATTCTCCGGACGACCCCAGATGTCGCCCATGCCGGTCCTGCGGGCAATAAAGGGGAAGCGGGGTAACCCAAGACGTGTGCGTGTCGAAGGCTATGGCGTGCTACATTGTTACGTCCACGTCATGCCCATTTCCCACATCGATCGTCAACAAATCCACTTCGTGTACGAGACCCGACAGTTTCCGCGAAAAAATGTCTGCGTCTTGAGTGACTGGCCTTCAACACATCCCGATGATGGTGTTGGGCGGCAATACCTTGGGGTACTATAGACTTTTGTCGGAACCATCCTCTCAAAGCAAGCATCATTGTTGGTCTGTTGCTCGATGTCCTTGCAAACACGGGCTTCGTGCCGTGGTCGGAACAGGCAAGGCTTGCATCGGATGTTTGCATTGTTTTTTCCTGCCCAGGACTGGCGAAGGCTGCAGTACTATACTATACATGTGACCCAGCTTAGTGATACAAATACTTGACCTTATGCTGGACGGTTGCAATAATATCCACACCAGAGCTGCCAGCACGAATGACTGCCGCCCATTCGCCAGAGCGACCGTAGCCCTCTTTGTGGGTTGCAGAATACATGAGCTTTCCCTTAGGACCTACCAATACCAGAGTACCAGGCTATCTACATCTCTTGAGAACATTGCTAGGGCTGGTGAACAAGTCGGGATTGTTCTAAAAAAACGGTATCTTTTTCCAGATTCGGAGTGTGTCATTCCCGCAACTTTGCAGCACCACTCCACTCAGCAGGCTCAGCGCGATGCTAAAAGTCTGACGCACTTGGCAACGAAGTCAATCTCACGCCCAATGCACAACTTGGGGCATTTCCATATCCCAAGCGAATACGGATAGTCGTGCGACCAGAGTTTGGTTTTGCACAAGAACTGATAGTTGAATGAGGGAGTATCGCACGCACATGCTGGATGTCTGTTTTCGACCTTGGCAGGGTTCCCCATGTCCTCTTTGGTGTTCTTGAAAAGTTCAACGGCAACGTCCCCGCACTCACAAGGGCGGTTTCGACTCTGTGTTTCATTCCCATAGTGGAGTGGGCAGAAACAGCACATGGTGAGTAGAGGCAGGTGCCATGGCATATGAGCCTTGGATATGGCAGGTGGTGTTGCGAGAGGCGCAGAATGTGGCAGCATGGCTCGCCTGTGGGGTTAGCGTGAGTGTAGGAGGCGCAGTCAACTTGACACCAGACGTGCATTCTGGCACGCACTATATCATAGCATGGACTGCAGCTGGCCGGCTCAGACAACACGAAAGCGCATGTGGTGATATGGTAACAGTAGCAGAGAGCGACGAGACTCTTTCCCTGTCGCGGCCCGAGTCCAGGGGGCTTGCTCGCTCTCTGGTTCCTCTTAGCTCACATGGGCTACCTACCACCTATCATCTGGTACGATTAGGAGTACATACGCGGGCGACAGCAGTGCCGGGAAAATACGCGGCAACAGCATAGACGGTTGCGCACCATAGCCTCTTTGCAATCGCAACCCCCATCACCATTGCCACGACCACACACATACACGCACACATTGATCGTTGTTGCACATTTTGCACCAGCATCGCTGAGCGACTCGTTCCCCGCGCTACAGCCTCGCAAACGACATTTGACGATTTGCCCCCCGACCGCTGCCATCAACGCACAGGGCGACAGGCAGCTCTGCCCGTGTCCCTCATTCCCACACATTTGCCCCCCAGACATTTGCGCCCAGCGCATGCGAACCCACACGGTTCCCCTTGGTCGTAGCACCACCTCGTGCTTCCTCGTTACTCTTGCGCGGCCAGGCTGCTGAACCCCCTCAGACCCTCCGTCAGCTTAGCGGCCCTGGTCATGGTGCCCGCGCATCCTCGCCAGGTAGCCTCGTGAATGACGCTTTTGACCGCACCACATCCCATTGCGCCCACGTAGCCACTCTCGCCCACGCCCGCCGCCATGTCGTACTACGGGAACGGCCAGAACTACTACAACCCAAACATTCCACATTCCAACGTGGGCGCCCAAGGCCAATACCAGGACCCCTACCACCGCTCCTCGTCGAGCACCGACCCAAACGATGGTGCAAACGGAGGCACTGCAGGCGCAGGCGCGGTTTCAGACTACGGCTACGGTTATGCCCAGCCAGAGCGCCGCAACAGCATGGCTGCGCGCCAGAACGACGAGCTCTTCATAGCCGCTGTAAACTCCCCGCACATCGGTCAGGGTCCAATGTCGCCTACCGCTGGTGGATACGGCACCAATGCCAGCTATGGCTACCCACCACAGCGACAGCAACTCGAATACAACCCCCAGAACTACAACACACAGCCTGTCGCTCTACCCAACCCTTCGCACTACGGCGGCGTCAACAGACCCTTTGCACCTCCCGTCTCAACAACGGCCTCGCATCAACCCTACAATCCAGCTGCCTATGCGAGCAACAGTCTCGTCAGGACTAATACTGCCAACCAAAACTATGCCTTCTCCCCCACCTCTCCAACTGCCACGTACCCTTCGCCCTCTTCATACCAGCAGTCGCAGTTTGGGAGAGCAGGTTCGGTCCAGAGAGGTGCCTCGTCTTATACCACACCTGCACCGCCCCCACTACCTGTGCCTCCTGGAAGCACACAACTTCCCGCTGACGATTGGGGCAACCGACCTTCTCCGCATGCCTCCAACTCATCAGGGTACTACTCGTCGAGTGCCTCGCATGCTCCATTGCCCTCTCCACCAGTCTATGATACTGGCTATGGCTCACAGCGCAATGACAGGTACGGAAGTTTCCAGTCCAACGCCCTTCCCCCGACTCCTGAAGTTCCGCCCCACGGATCACCCCAGCGAACGAATACGATGTCTTCACGACCGCTACCACTACCACCACCCCACGAATCTGACAGTGACGAGTACTTGACACCGCAGAATGGGTACCAGGACGAACTTTTCAATGACGTCTTGAGTATGACGGGCAGTGGAACTCATGTTCAGCACTCCAACGGTCAATACTATCACACTGAGCGCCATTCATCCGGACGCAATGGTATGAATGGTGGACAAGGAGGTACATACCCCGGGCGTGAGACATACGCTAGCGACGAGAGTGATGTCGAGGCCGCTGCTGGTCTGGCTGCGCTTCAAATGGCTGAAGAACAAGAGAGGGCCGATGAGGCCCGGAGAGCCAGCGGTGGTGGCGGACTGTTTAGCAACTACACGTCAGTGCATTCACCACAAATGCCTACAGAACCCACAAGAGAAGGAAGTGCGAGCGATACCGAATATGTAGGCATGGATGTGGGTACGTATGGCGGTGGCTTCATGCCGTCCTTTAATTATGGTGGAGACCCAAGTCAGCTAGCAGTGGGAAGTGGCTATTCACTGTCGACATCAGGCTCGCAGCGACGGTCAGAGCCCTATGGCGAAGAGTACGACTCGATTCACCCCTTCCCGTCCTTTTCGAACAATGCGCGTGTCGACACTTTTGGTACTGGTGGGCTTGAAGAGCCTAGCGCCCGACGACGGAGCTACGACGAAGGTGACGAGGTCACCCTCATGGACAGCGCGTCTATCGCATCTAGCTCTACTCTCATAACACAAACATCGGCCATGCCCGGCGAACCACCAGACATGTTCTACCACCCAGGAATCTCAAACCGGCCTTTACCGCCTCCTCCAGTGAACACCAACGCTCGGCGAACAAACCACCAAAGCAACAGCTCTACTGGATCTGGATCTTACGAGTATTGGCGCAATGCCCCGTCGTCCCGTGACTCGTACCCTGTCGACCCTAACGGTATACACATGGTATCGCCCAACGGTACACACGTCCCCCGTTCAACCTCTCTCCTACAGCACAGCAACGCTCGAGATGCCATACCCTTGCCGAGATCCAAGACCGATGCGGAACAAGGGCACAGATCTCGGGGTAGCCGCAATACCTTTTATGGCAATGCCATGGACAGCGACGGCAACACACTGACTCCTGTCAGTACTGAAGCCGTAGCTATTGATCTGCCAACAATTCCAGCTGGCAAGCGCTTCAACCCTGCAAAACTGTCTAGCATCGACTTCAAGAAGTGCACAGAGCCGTGGGCGCTCAGCTCAATCATTGCTTGGCTCAAGAGCATGACAGAGGGGGAAAATGATTTGAAGGAGGGCCCTATCCAGGAGGGCCTGATTGCACTTTTCACCCACAAGGTTCCAACGATGAATATTGCCGATGCCGAGACCTTGAGTAGCCGTGTGGTGGCGGAAATGTACAAAGCTGGTACTCTTGTACATGAAGAAGAATGGCTCAAGTTCTCTTCGGAAAGCATGACGGGTGTAATATTCCAGCTGACAGGGGCGGGCTGTTACGCACCCATGTTGCATACTCACACTTCTCCTGGTCGATGTTATTCACACCACTGCCAGCGAACGCTCAAGAAGATTGACCTTCATGCACCGTCCGCTGCACCCCGTTCGGAGGATTGGGCTACCTTCTTCAAGCTGAAAAAGGAGGACATCGAGGGTGCAAACAAGAAGGAAATCGAGCGCCAAAATATCCTACACGAAATCGTTCAGGGAGAGGACAACTACATGAATCGACTCGATGTATTGCGCCATCTGTACCGTGACCGCTTAAAGGCATCCCAGCCTCCTGTTATACCCCCGAAAAAGCTCGACCGATTCATCCGCGACGTTTTTAGCAAAGTAGATGCCGTACGGAAGGCAAACGAAGACCATCTCCTCCCACAGATTAAGTATAGACAGCAAGAGCAGGGGCCGTGGATTGTCGGGTTTAGCGACATCTTCAGAGAATGGATTCGAAAGGCCAAGCAAGCCTATATCGAGTACGCGGCAGCCTTTCCGTACGCATCGTTCCTAGTCCGACAAGAGGCTGACAGGAACATACTGTTCCGTACGTTTCTGGATGAAGCTCAGAAAAACAAGCTTTCCAACAAGCTTGGTTGGGATACATATCTGAAAGGACCTATCGACAGGCTGCAGCGTTATGGTCTGCTTCTGGATACGGTACTAAAATACTCGATTGTCGATAATGAGGAGAAGAGGAATCTCCAAATCGCCAAAGATGAAATCAAGGCTGTAACTTTGGAGTGCGATGCCCGTGTCGCTGAGATGGGCCGGAAAGTCAGCCTCACGGATCTCCAAGCCAAGCTCATCTTACGACCAGGCATGCAACGTGTAGAGCTTAATCTGGACCATCTTGGACGAGAGCTGATCTTCCGAGGCGATCTGCAAAGAATGGGAAATAGCCGCTTCAACTGGCTTGAGACCCACGCACTACTCTTCGACCACTACCTCGTGCTCGCGAAAACAGTCTCGTTCAGAGAGGCGGATGGCGTTACCAAGTCTGAGAAATACGACGTGTCCCGGCTGCCAATTCCCATGGATTTGCTCGTGCTTGAAAGCGAAGATGATGATCCCGTCGTACGCTCAACAATGAAGGGTATATCCACAGTCACGGCAGTCCCTGGTCGAGTTGCTGGAGCTGGTGCACGCCTAACCGGTAGTCCTGCTCCAGGCACTTTGCAGCACGTGACTACCAATTCCTCTCTTGGATCCTCAAATACAAGTGGTTCTGGAAAGACCCTTGTCAATACTCCAACAATTGACGCCAACAAAGATGAGAAGGTTCTATATCCGTTCCGAGTGAAGCATCTTGGCAAGGAGACATACACCCTGTATGCTCCAAGCGCACAAAACCGAGCCGAATGGTGTGACAAGCTCATCATTGCAAAGACACGACACGCTGCGGCTCTCTTTGCCCAGAACGCAGAGCCTTTCAGATTGCGAGTGATGGCTGATGCTGCGTTTGCATACGACAGTGCTATGCCATCTCAAAGAGCCATAACCATCAAGGGAACACCTTTGGACCGGGCTGTTGATGAAGTAGAGAAGCTTTTCGTTAACGTTGGCCGTCCGGTCCCCATCTGCCGAGCGAGGGTCAACTGTGCCACGGCCTTTACCCAACCCCATGGCAAACACATGGTGGCGGTTGGTACAGATATTGGAGTATACGTGTCCGACTTTGATAACCCTAGAGGCTGGTCAAAGGTAAGTTATGTCTCTGTACTTGGAAAAACCAAGCTAACCTATCCAGGCCATTCAAATACCGCGAGTAACTCAGATTGCCGTGCTCGAGCAGTTCGGCTTGATGCTTCTCATCTCTGATAAGGCTTTGATTGCATACCACCTGGATGCTGTATGCCCGCTCAGCGGCATAGCTCCTTCAAACGACTCGACTCGACGCGCTCCTCAAAAGCTGTCAGGCGCGCGCGACATTGGCTTCTTCGCCACTGGTGTAATGAAGGACAGGACCCTAGTCTTTTACAAGAAGCGCGATGGAATCTCATCAACCTTTAAGGTCCTCGAGCCTGTCTACCAAAAATCCACAGAGAAGAAGTCCAGGATATGGAAAACGGGCCGCACTGAGTTTTTCCGCGAGTACGATGAGTTCTACATCCCGGCTGAGTGCTTCACCATCAATCTTTTCCATTCTTCTCTCGCCATCTCCACAGCAAAGGGCTTCGAGGTACTCACTTTGGACAAGAAACAGCCATGGTCGGTACCAGACCTAAAACAGCCACACGTCGCCACTATTGCATCGCGACTACAAAACCAAGTTCCATTGGGCATGTTCCGCCTCTCAGACCAAGAGTTCCTTCTTTGCTACGAGGAGTGTGCGGTATATATCAACAAGAACGGTGACATCTCCCGCTCGGTTATCATGGAATTTGTCGGCAAGGCAAAGAGCGCTGCCATGTACGGACCGTATGTGTTGCTCTTTGACCCCGACTTCGTTGAGATTCGCAACGCACAGAACGGCAGATTACGCCAAGTGATTGCTGGGCGTGATGTCAAGTGTTTGGATGATGGGCTCAGCGGAGGTTCATCGCACAACAGGACAGTGAAGCTGAGCTTGCAGCATCCGTACCATGAAAGGAGCCAGGTCGTTGTTGAGTTGGTGCTCAACGAAGGTCAAAAGGAATAACATGGTAACACCCTACATATTACAAGCATTCGGCCTAGATCAGGGAGGCCATGTTTGTACCCCATTCAACCATGGCGAGGATGGTGTAGTATGGGTTCAGGAACTTGGGCCCTTGTTTGGAACGGAAAACAGCACTGCCTCTGTTGTTTAGTGGCTTTGATTTTTTTTGGCTTAGTGTTGAAAGAGAACAGGTTGATTGTCTCCACATCACTGGTATCGAGTGAGGTATATTTCTGCTGCTGCCGATGACAGCATGTTGTTAATACTTGTACCTTCTTCTTCTTCTCTCTTCTTCAATCTTCTTCATTCTTCTCAAGTTCACGAGCATTTTATACTATATCTTCTTTGATAAGCTCGATCTACAAGAAGGAATCTTTTTTGTTAGTTTTCTTGGCTGCATCAACCTAATACCCAGAGATAAACCTCTTCCGGCGAAATAAGCAACTTTGTTATTTAACTTTTGTGTGTACCTTTTTTTTCATTAGTGAAATGTGTCTTGATATGATGAGAACAACAATAATATTAGACACGAGAGAGAGGATGGACACAATGGTTTCATGTACGAGTTTCTTGCAGTTTTTTGAATTAGGGTACACATCCTCCTGCGACTTCTACGTTGATTTCGCTAGGTGACATATAGGCAACGCAAAATTGATCATGGCTTTTTAGAGTACGTTCGATAGACTCTTCTTAAACAGGAACAAAGCGCAGTAACAGGCGTACATGTCGCTTTCCTAGCACTATGCTCAACCTACTTCCCCTGCTCTTTCTGTCAAAGTTGCATATCGGCAGTTCAACTCGCGACTTTAGTTTTGTTAATGGCAGAAAAAACTTGTAAGCGGATGGCCATGCCTGAACTTTGGACATGGTATCAGAAGATAGGTGACAGGAATGGGATTACATAAGATGAATTCATTACGTCATGCGCTAGGTTACATTACTTCGGGTATGTGCGGACCTTCCTCTGCACAACTTTGCCTCTATGATCAGGTTCTATTAGATCATCTCCGTGTCTTCCATTCGGATGATAGGGAAATACAACACCTTTACCGACGCTCTCAAGGCCCCGGGCACGTCTTACGGTTGCTGTAGCTAACCACAATTATGACCTAATGTCACTACTGCCTTCCGACCTCCGCTCATCCCTAGCGTTGAGACGAACGAACACACGAGTCAAATCGCCCGATCAGCAGCAAGACTTAGACTCCTAGTTTTGGTGCACCGTGAGGGGCTGGTTTGCTGGCGAGCCGCTTGTCTTGTTCTTCCTTGGATAGCGTGTCCCATTCAGCTACATTCTTGTCCTTCGTGGCGGTCAGTACATTGTCAAAAGTTGCGCTGCCTGTGACACTACTCACCCATTCTGCTACACACTCTGGCTTCCAGTTGCACTTTTCTACCTCGCCATACATGGGGTGGTTTCGTCGAGGATGAAGAGTTGGCCAGCCCGAAGCATGATAATGGTGCTTTACTAGCGCACCTCGAGAGCCGTGGTTGCCAGAGTCGGAGTGCCCTTGACCAGCTGCAAAGGCTTCGACATTGAGCACGAGGATTCCGTTGACAAGTCTCGATTCTGCTAGATTGTGGAAGAGATCCCAAGTGACTGGGTTTCCATGGTTCTGTGCCGTCATTTGTTCCAAGACCGCTTTGGTAAACGCAGACGGCCCAGTGCCACTAATCACTTCGTCGAAATCCAAGTGGAGCTGCGATATAGGTACTTCTTTCGCTTTGGCCAGCTCGTGTAACCAATCTTGGATATTCTCGATAAGCCGCATCATAACCGGAAGCCGGGGTTTGGCGGCAAAAGTCCACTGGCAAAACGACTTGCATTTGGATCCGAGAATCTCGTGGTTGGCAAATGCGGGCTCATCAATTTCCACTCCGATGATCATGTCAATATCTGGCTCGTTGTAGCGCTCGGGAATGAACCTGTTGATGGGCCGCAGGCACTCCACATCAATGTCGGCATACACACCACCTTCGGCGTACATCACGAGATATCGAAGCAGGTCGGCTTTGATTATGGTGATGTTTAGTTCCCGATATAGGTCAACGAGATCCTTTCGGTCAAGGCCATGTGGCCCATAGTGCCACTCGAGATAGTCGTTTGCGTTGTCATCTGTCAATACCTCGTACCGGTATGTGGGGTTTTTCTGAGCCCAGGTCTTCGCCGAGTCTGAGTCGCGCTGCTCAAAGCCCAGAGGACCAACTTTCCATGTCTGCCATATCTTTTTTGGAATCAATGAGCCAACTGGCTGCAGTGGCTGCTGATATTTGAGCTCGCGCTTGTATCTGCTCGCTGCTCGGATCGGGGTTGTGAAGAATTCGGTGTTGGCAAAGAATAAGAAGAGGAAGATCAAAGCAATATATGCAGGCAAGACTCTCCGCACTTGACTGGTGAGCTTGCCTGAGAATTGTGTCACTATTGGGGAACTTGGACGCATCATAATCTTCAGACTGAGCTTGGGCGGAGGTGGCCTTGATCGTGTGCGCATGCTGGAGTTATTACAACATTGGGAACCTGCCAATTTGACCCAGCCATTCCGTAACTATTATCGATCGCCTCAGTACACCACCGGAAATACGAGCACCTGGCCTAGAGTATACCCATGCGACCACGCCGACCAATACACTTCTTGCCTTCACCCTCGGCTTATCAATTTCTTTTCACATGCAGGGGCAGCCTCACCAAAAAGCACGTAACCCCGCATGTGTACTTGAGGCTAAGAGTAAACCCTGGTAAGCTAGTACTACAACGCTGGTACCAAGGCGGGTGGGTTAAAGCTTATAAAATTTGCCCCTGCAAGCTCGTCGGCCGCTTGGACATGTTAGGTATCTGCCCCTTGACAGCCCCCGCATTGCATCTCGTGAGTAAGAGATATTCGAGGCATGTCGCCGGATTCAGCAATGTCACACTCAAAGTCGTCCGTGCCCTAATACTGCTGCCGGATCATCCCGACTTGATCGCGTGCATCTAGGAAATCAGGCATGCTTCGGACGAGTTGTCCAAATCCTGCAATTGCGCGTCAATTGCCCACTTTATTACAATCTTGGATATCTAGTGTCACTTCGAGTACCCAGTATTGCTCGAATTCATCTCAATTTCCTGGGACCCCTCAATCGTATCTACGTTTTTTCTACTCCCCAAAATGCCAGCTAAATATAACGGGTTGCTGGACCAAGATGGAATTGAAGAGGTCAAGCTTTCGCCATCAATCTGGAAGCCAGTTCGAACGGCCAAATGGAGCCTCGACATAGTACGCCCGGAATTTCTCTCCTTACGGCTGGCCTCAAAAAGCAAGCCGATTAGGCCAACAGCGTGGCTGGATGGCCTAAGAGGTTTCGCTGCACTCCTGGTCTATCTACAGCACCATCAGCTCTGGGCTCACGGGGAACGTGGTAACTCTGTCTTTGAACACGCCTACGGCTACGAGGGAAAACACTATTTCGCAACCCTACCATTCGTACGCATCTTTTTCTCTGGTGGCCACTTTGCTGTTGCCATCTTCTTCGTCATATCAGGTTATGTGCTTTCCCTCAAAAGTCTACGCATGATCCAGGACGGCCATGCTGTCAGTGCTGCAGACAGTATCGGTTCCGCTCTCTTCCGCCGTTGGCTGCGACTTTTCCTGCCCGTCATTGCGATAACTCTCGCATTCATGTCTATCCGACACTGGAGTGGAGTGTGGGTTGATTTGCAGCCAATGGAAGACACATACTGGAAAGACCTCATCAAGTGGTACCGCATGTTCAAAAACTACAGCTTTGTCTTTTCCACCGAGATTTATGACTTTGCTATACAGTTCCATGCACACGTCTGGTCGATCCCCATTGAATTCAAAGGATCCATCATCATCTATACCGCACTCTCCGCACTCTCCAGGTGCACAAAGAATGCCCGACTCTGCTGCGAGGTCGCTCTGATATTCTACTTCCTCTACATCGTCGACGGCTACTACGGCGCAATGTTCATGTCTGGAATGCTGCTCTGCGACCTCGATTTGCTCGCACAGCAGGATAAACTTCCACGACTGTTCTCCGCTCTGGCAAACTTCAAGGAGTTCATCTTCTTCCACATGTTTGTCTTATCTCTCTACCTCAGTGGCGTGCCCTCCTTTGACGCAGCTGACGCGGATCGCGCTGCTATCCTCACCAAGTCACCTGGATGGATCTGGTTATCGCATCTCAAGCCTCAAGCTGTATTTGATGCAAAATGGTTCTATCTCTTCTGGGCAGCATTCCTCGCGGTCGCATCAGTGCCTCGCTTGCCGTGGCTCAAGCAATTTTTCGAGACGCGCTTCTGTCAGTATCTTGGACGCGTGTCTTTTGCGCTCTACTTGGTACATGGAATTGTTATCTGGATCGTCGCTGACCGACTGTATGCGTTGGTGGGCCTTACGAGGTCGGCTCACGCCGAAGGAATACCGGAGTGGGTCAACAAATTTCCCCTGCCTGTCAGTGGCCCACTAGGGCTGGAATTGGCTTTTTGGTTACTCCAGCCCATCCTCCTATCTATCACACTGTATTTTGCAGAAGTTGTGACAAGGTTGGTCGACGAGCCAAGCGTCAAGTTTACCAATTGGCTCTACAAAAAGGCGCTTTCTCAACAGACGAAGCCGGGCCACCAGCGTAGCCACTCAACACTATAGGAAGGTATTCAGCTGCAGAAAAGTATCAATGTTGAACGAATTATTCTTGGACCCCAAATCCTTCATCGCAATCCTGATCTCGCGATGCTCTCCACACGTGCTGTCGATCCCAATAAGAACATTCGGCTTCATGTGACCATTTAGCTCCACTCCGCGGGAGGTGACGTGACGCCGCACTACTGCAGGTGCTGAAGGGGCAGGATGTGACACAGTGTAGACGCCCGTTGTATTGACGGTTGGAAAAGGTGCACTTCGCCGAGTCATTCCCCATGGGGGCCTAGGCTCCTAGTGAAGAACCATGGTCCCTGCCCTGCCGCTGATCTTAGCCCTCTTGTCGGCAATGACCAAATCAGGTACCAACACCGCCGACTATCAATTTCCTTTGCAGACGCAATTCCGTAACCGTGTTGATAGTACCTAACTTGCAGCGTACGTACGAGACTGCATATCGTTGGTGCCCGCTGCAACCTCGGATATTTGTGCCCATGCATGTGCGTCCATGCTCCGATTAACACATGTGACGAAGCGGATTCCGACCACCATCTGCTCTTGATCAGACGTCGGAGAGCGCCCGTGAAGTACCAATTTGTCCCTTTCACCATGAGGCGGCGGCACAATATTGCTTTGGCTACTATTGCATTCCTCGGTACAATCTTGCTGGTTGCACAGCACCGCAGTGAATACCGGCATACGCATGTTACCCATGCATCGTATGATACCAAAGAGAGTAATACCGGGATCGAAGTACTACCATCTGATCTAAAACCTTCTTCACATTCTCATGATGCATCCGGGTCAGGAACGGACGCCGAGGCGCACGTGACCCTACATGACGATGGTTCACCGGCTCAAGGAGTCTCAGAAGGCGATAGTTCGACGACACCTCCTTTGCTGGAAAACCCCTCTCCAGATGGACAAACCGTCCTAGAACCTGAATATGCTTTCCAAAAAGACCTCGATCTCCTCCTTCCAATCCCAGCCCTCCAACGCTTCAGCACCCACAAACCTCACAACTATGTACCCGGAGGCACAGAAACCTACGCCTACGCTACATTCCTAGCAACACGCAACGCGTCACTCAAAGACCCCTACTTCCTCGCCATCCACTCTCTCATCTACCGCCTCCTCTGGTCCCCCAAATCTCGCACCCAAAACCATCCCTTCATCGTCTTCGTTGCCGACTACGTCACACCCGAACAGCGCGCCCTCCTCTCCGGCGCCGGCGCCCTCGTCCGCGAACTCGCGCCCCTCCCCTGGTCCCCCAACGTCCCCGGCGTACAGCCCCGCTGGAAAGACCTCTTCGCCAAACTACACATGTGGCGAGAAACAGAATTCAGCCGCATCCTCTTCCTCGACGCCGACGCTTTCCCCCTAGCGCCCCTTGACGAAATGTTCACTCTCGCAGAGCCTCGCACTTGCGTGCCCGAGAAATTACATCTCGACGACTTTCTACCCGACGGCCCCGTCTGCGAACCCTACATCTTCGCTGGTATCCCGCAGGATCCCTTCAACACCGAACACCCCAATATCAACGTTGGCGCTATGCTCTTCACTCCTTCCCTCCGCATGCATCAGCGCTTGCTACAGAATTACGTCAAGACGGATAAATATGACTGCTTGATGGCGGAACAAGCGTTTCTGAATTGGCAGTTTGGCCCGGACTCGGCGTTTCCGGCGACGAAGCTGGAGAGGGAGTGGGGTGGGTTTTTTCCAAAGGAAGAGGAAGAGGGGAGGTTGAAGGTTGTGCATGAGAAGATTTGGGTTTTGGAGGGGGGTTGGATGAAGGAGGAGTGGGGGAGCGGGTGGAGGGATATGATTGGGTTTTATGAGGGGGAGGAGTTTGTGAGGGTGAGGGAGGGGGATGGGAAGGCTGAGGGGTAGGGTTGGTGAATACGTTTGTTTTGTCTTTTTGTGGCGGATCCTTTTTTTTCTTATATAGTTTGAAATGCTTGAAGGAAAGTATGATAGGTAATGATACTATGACAGTGCAATGAAGCAGAACTTCCCTGATTATCTTGGCATTTGTGAATCTACTGTTCAATCATCTGCAACACTGAACTCTTGCACGACATAAACTTTGAATCTCAATATCGACTAAACAGCACACTCTAGACGTACATATCTATATCACACTACGCACTAGCCTCAGCCGTACTCTGTCGGCCCGCCACGCTTCCTCCCTTCCAGATCTCCTTGGGATCCTTCTTATCCTGCAGCCTACTCTCCTCTCCTTCCTTGCCCCACCCACCGCCTCCAGGAGTGTGAATAATGATACGCTCACCCGGCCGCATACTGGCCGTGTTTTTCGCACCAAGATTGATATACCTATACTCCACATCTTCTTTCTTGTCACTTGCAGCATCCTTCTTCTCCAGGGCCTCTACATCACTTGACGTCGTGGGTGCGTGCGGAGCCGACTCTTGAGGTTCAGTAGGTTTCTTAGAGTCTGAGTTCTGGTCGATGGCCTTTTTGTCGACTTTGCGGACCCATATGTTGAGACCGCAGGCGGCGTCGCCTCCTCCCTCCATACCGTATGGATGGTAGACTCTTCTTTCGCTCAAGATGCTGACTTGGACTGGTATGCGGAATTCAATGTCGCGAATGACTCCTTCGCCACCAATATGCATTCCGCGTCCTGCGCTGCCTTGTCTGAGTGAGAATTCTCGGAGCAGAACAGGGTATCGGCGCTCAAATACTTCGGAGTCGGTAATGCGGGTGTTGGTCATGTGGGTATGCACGCCGCTCGTTCCGTTCCATGTGGGGCCCGCGCCAGATCCTCCAGCGATAGTCTCGTAGTATCCGAATCCTTTGGTCTCTTTTCTCTCTCCGCTCTTCGCCCCTTCTCCGAATGTGGTACCACCGAAACCAAAAGTAAGATTGTTGCAATCGCCTTGACTGGCGGCACAGGCGCGGAAGGCTTTCAATACGACATCTGTAACGCGCTGACTCGTGAGCACGTTGCCACCCACGACAGCAGCGTTGTCTGACGGCGAGAGAAAAGACTTCTTAGGAATGAGAACGTGGATTGGCTTCAAGCAACCTTGGTTCAATGGGATATCTTCACTGATCAGACATCGCAGACAGTATATAATAGCCGAGTAAGTGACAGCTTCAGGGGCGTTGATATTGCCGTAAACCTCAGGACCTGTTCCTGAAAAGTCAAAGACAGCTTCACCCTTTTCCGGGTCAATGGAGATCTTGAGGCGGATAGGGCTTCCATCATCCATGAATTCCTCTGCACTGAGGTCTTGGCCCTCAAAACGCTTGTACACGTCTTTGAGCAATGCTCGTACAGATTTCTCAGCATTGGCTTGGATGCTGGTCATGTAGAACTTGACAACCTCCTCGCCGTAATCGGACATGAGTGTACTGATGAGATTAATACCCTTCTGGTTAGCGGCGACTTGAGCCTTCAGATCGTTGATGTTGTCACTAAGGCATCGAGTGCCAGAGCATCCAGGATATTGGCCTGGCTCATCGAGTAGCAGTTCAGTAATGCGCTCTTCGTTAAAGTGGCCTTCTGATACGAGCTTCTCCGATTTGATAGCAGCGCCTTCTTGGTAGAGCTCCTTGGAAGCTGGAGGCATCGAACCAGGAAGGATACCACCGATATCGGCATGATGTGCGCGAGAGGCGACGTAGAAGACGATGTTGTCACCACTGAATGCTGGCGTTATCACGGTGATATCCGGTAAATGTGTACCGCCAAACATAGGGTGGTTGGAAACTAGTACATCCCCCTTTTTGAGCTTGCCTTTCCAGATGGCTGCTTGCTTGCGGACACAGGTCGACATGCTTCCAAGGTGGACAGGAAGATGAGGTGCTATATGTGCGTTAGCATTGTTGCATATCATAGATGTGAAGCTTACCATTTGCGACTAGTCCGCCATCTGCATCAAAAAGCGCGCAAGAGTAGTCCAGTCGTTCTTTGACGTTGGTAGACACACTAGTCTTCTGCAGGGCGCGACCCATTTGCTCGGCAATAGCCATGAACCTGTGAGCGAAGATACTCAGAAGAATTGGATCCACTTCCTTCGTGTCAATCTGTTTTTCTTGATCTTCGGTTTCACCGATATTTATCACAACATGCGTGTTGATGATGAGCGCAGTAGCACCAGGAGTAACTACGATAGTCTGTGTGCCGTCTGCAATGATTGCTGGGCCCTTCAAACGATCTCCAACTTCAAGGTCTTCAAGCTTGTACACAGAGGTATCTTGCCGACCACCCTCGAAGAACACCTTGCGTGTATCGTAACGCTTTGCGTCGCCTTGAAGATCTTTGGGCTTGATCTCCTTCAGCTGTTGATCCACACTCTTTTCCAACCCTTCAAAGGACTTCCCAATGCCTCGTGCTCTGACATCGTCCACGATGATGTCGCGGTCTGGCAGTGTGAAACCAAACTCTTGTTCGTGCTGTTTGACGAAAGCTTTCCCAAAAGCCCACTCGTCACCATCATACTCTTGTTGGGCCTCTTCTTTGGTAGGCTTGATGATCATGAGCGCTGACTCAGTTCCTCGGTAGCGCAAGTTGAGGTACTCTTCGAACTGAATATGCTCCTCATCAAAGCCCTGCTCCTTTAGTGTAGCCGTTGATTTACTCTTCAAGTCCGCCATCTTGGCTTGCAAGTATTCCCTCACATCCTTCTTGTCTGACCAGACCTTCGACTCTGGCTCTTGCCTTTCGTCGACGACATCAGCAAGGGCCATGCCGTATGCGGATAGTACTGATGAGTATCTGTGAACGAGAATCTGCGAAATACCGAGAGCCTCAGCGATCGCAACAGCGTGCTGTCCACCGGCCCCACCAAAGGTTGCAAGTCGGTGTTTCGATGTATCGTGGCCTCGCGCCTCAGTCAAACTACGAATGGGTCGCGTCATAGTCTCGTTTGCGATCTTGATGAAACCATTCGCAATGTCATCCAACGACATTTCTTTTTCCTTATTGCCTCCAGCAATCTCCTTGTTTATTTGATCTGCCAATTCTTTGAAGAGCTTCTCGCTAGCCTGTGCGTCCAGACCCTCATCCTCGTTCTTTCCGAAGATCTTGGGAAAGAAGTCAGGTAATAGCCGGCCAAGGAACAGGTTCGCGTCTGTAATTGTCAATGGACCACCTTTTCGATAGCATGCTGGGCCAGGGTGTGCGCTTGCCGATTCTGGGCCAACAACGAAAAGGCCGTTCTTCCAGAAGAGACGCGACCCACCACCGGCTGCGACTGTGTTGATGTCGAGTTGCGGCGACTGAATAGTGACTCCGGCAGTCGTAGTCTCAAAGACGTGATCGTATCGCCCAGCACCGTATCGGCTGACGTCGGTACTGGTGCCACCCATGTCGAACCCAATAACAGGTATCTTGGTCTGAGGATCGTAGGACGTTAGTGCATAGCCCACCACTCCACCAGCAGGTCCCGACAGGATGGCTTTAAGACCTGAGAACATGTCGACATCTACAAGACCGCCGTCGGATTGCATGAACTCGCATCGCGCACCTTTGGAACCTTCTTCGCGCTTCACGCTCTTGGTACCAAGGCCGCCCTCAAAGCCCTTGGAGAAGCCATCAATGTACTTTCGTATCGCGGGTGTTAGATAGGCATCTGCGCATGCAGAGGTTGCTCGTGGAACCAGCTTAATCATGGGCATGAGCTCGTGACTTAAGCTGACATGCTCAAACCCGATTTCTCTTGCAATCTTGCCTACTAGTGCTTCATGCTTCGGGTATGTGTAGCCATGCATCAAACACACAGCTATGCTCTTCAACCCACTATCATATACCTCTTGAAGTTGCTTTCTAATTGCTTCTTCCTGCGGCCTTTGTAATATGCGCACTGTCTCACCCGACAATCCTTTGACCAGTTCAGCTCCATCGCCAGCCTCTTCGATACTGGCAGCTTGTGTTTGATTCCTTTCTGGGTCCTCGGCATAGTCTTCCAGCGTGACACGCTCATCAATCTCTACCACCTTTTTGTAGAGTACCTCTGGCTTCCGGATATCCAGGGCGAAAATATTGGGTCGACTTTGGTTGCCAATCTCGAGGCAGTCCTTGAAACCCTTTGTCACAACCATGGCGATATCCTCGCCCTTGCGCTCCAGCAGCGCATTCGTAGCCACTGTTGTGCCCATGCGTATACTCTCAATCTTGGACGTGTCCAGAGGCTGTCCGCGAGGAATTTCGGTGCCTGTGAATTTGGAAAGGAGGCGACGGATACCTTCGAGGGGCGCATCATCGTAGTTTGACGGATCAACAGAAAGAAGCTTGATGAGAACATCGTCTTCCATCTTGCCTGTTCCGGGATTGCCCACGCAATCTGTGAATGTGCCGCCACGCTAGATATTCAGTAATCAGCCATAGATTCTTCAAACCGAGAAAAAAAAGATTTCTTACGTCAATGGCAATGCGGATTCCCCGCTGTGCGATCTTTGGCGCAGCCATGGTTGTGCCTGGGAATTAGGTCGCGCACACGAAATGCAAATGTGAGTGTTAGGCAGACCTTGGAGGTTCAAAGATCATCAATTAACACAGGCGAAAGCCAAAACCAAGAATGAGCGAAGAATGATGGCAAAATGCGATGTGACACGATATGCAGGCTGGACGCGGCTGCATATACGCTCCCAGCGAGAGCTTTAAGTGGGGTACGCGATGCTACCCCGCGGCGGCTTTTGTCATCCAAATCATGTCATCGTGGTAGCTTGAGCTTGGTGACATCTGCTACCCTATCTGCACACGCCACTTCCGACATTAGTGGGCCTTGTCGGCGTTGTCGGGAATTCTTTTGCACACGACTTGCCCATTGATAAGCGTTCTGAAATGGTCGGTTACCGAGCCATTGGCGCAACTATACATTTTATTTTATTAGGTTAGAATTTCGCACATGTAGCACGAAAATGACTTGGTCTTTCCTATAATCAACTGGTACAATCAAGAAGGTAGGCCTAGAGGGGTTGAACGAGCTTGGCCACGCGATAAATGGCTTTATGGTAAAATATGTCCAATAAATCTCAAATGCCACTATCCAGTATCAAGTCTCTGAATTCAGCATGCCCAAACGGGAATTTTGGGGCAAACTTCTAAGATCGGAATGATGTGCGGTCTTCTGCTGGGGTGTATGCTTGCATCGATTTAGATCTGGTGGGCCCTTGCTACAGTCACAAGGGTGTTGGGAATTGCTTTTGAATTTCCCGATCGATAGGGCAACGCAACAATTTGATGGGAAATAAGATCAAATGCTTTGCACTTGTTTCAGTCAAATAAGTTTCTTTTGACTCTTTATTACTCTCTTCTTATCACGATCAACGAGCCAAAAGATGGGGTCCATAAGTGAAGTAGATACCGCATGCGGTATGCCCACGGTATAATCCAAATCTGAATTGGAAACAGGCTCACAGTTGACATAAAAATGTAGATTTGGACAAGGTTGATACGTTTTGTCGCCGAGGAGGATAATGTTGAGCACCTCGGTGAGCCACTCGATAGAAATATCGATGGTAAGCAACCCGCCTAGCAGTCTTTCACATCTGCTGAGATAGTATAGTTGGCGCAACTCTAGCGTCAGGAGAGAAAGTGCAAGCCCGCCTCTTCACAGGAACGTCTGTTCTCTCGGTACAAAACAAGCCCACAAGCACAGTCCTCACAGTCTCGAGATTACTTCCGCCACTCTCAAAGTCGGAAGTGGGAACTATTCGCTGCATAGGCTTGAACTACCGGAAGCATGCGAAAGAAATGAACTTGGAACTTCCCAACCACCCCACACTCTTTTTCAAGCCAGCAACATGTTTGGGCGCTCCGAACGCTCCACTGTTGATCCCACATCAAGCCACAGATGGCCAAGCGGACTATGAAGCCGAGCTCGCAGTCATCATAGGGAAAGCCGCAAGAAACGTTAGCAAAGAGAATGCCATGGAGTACGTCCTGGGCTATACATGTTCCAACGACGTAACGGCCCGAGTTCATCAATTCAATGGCGCCCAGTGGGGTTTCGGAAAAGGATTCGATGGATTCGCACCGCTAGGCCCTTGCCTCGTATCCGCCGCTACAATACCCGACCCTGGTCAAATCGAGTTGAAGACTGTGTTGAATGGCGAAACGATGCAATACTCGCTTGCAAACGATATGATATTCAGTATTCCCGAAATTGTAGCATATCTCAGCCAAGGGACGACGTTGGAGCCGGGCACGGTAATTATGACCGGCACGCCACATGGCATTGGAGTGAGCAAAGTGCCAAAGGTCTGGTTGAAGCAAGGAGATGATTTAAGAATTGTGATGAGCCATGGAATGGGAAGTCTAGTGACCCCAGTAGTCTATGAAGCGCAGCCCAAGCTCAGATAATTCAGAAAAAAATTTCAACTCATTCAGACCGATTCATGGCCAAGATGCAGTCACTAAATTATATTCTTCGCGGTGAATCATTGGTCAACAGTCTGTCAAAATCTGACTTGGTACTATTGAAATCCAAAAGTCATCTGTTCTTGAGTGATACTGTCGAGAACATGCTCCCATTGCTGCAGGTCTGTAGATGGATCACCCCAGGGAGGCGCTTGCCATTGGAAGGGACCTCCTGCACCAAAGTTAAGTAAACCTGGTACTGCTTCTGAACTATCTATCGTTTCGGGCGAGACAAAGTTGTTGGCGTCATCCCGTTCTCCAGCATGCGCAATAGCTGGAGGATCCACTGTCGTGCTATAACGCGCCCCAAGCGATGTACTCGCTCTATTACTGCTGCCACGATTTTCACGAAATTGCTTTGACTTTTTAATACAAAGCTCAATAATCTTGACCTCTGCAAGTGCAAACTCATTCAGCCAGATGTCTCCGCGTTGCATGTCGCAATAAGCAGTCAGATCTTCTAATATCGCGTCGCATTGGTACGAGTGTGGATCCTTAACTGCAACGATTCCCAGGACTAGCGCGCTGTTGAATAGGTGATGAGGTCCCAGACTCCATTTTAACCGATCGTGTAAGGGCTGTTGAAGATAGTCGAGGCGCATTGCAAGGTCAGCACAAGCTGATGAAATACAAGCATCGTGACTGTGTCGAAAGCGATTTGTGATACTTTGGCGCAGCAGATATGGGCGATGGAGTGTAACGCGGGCAAAGTGGTACATGGAGTGAAGGTATAAGCGGTTCCAAGGTATAAATGAATGAACACAATCTTGCGAAGTATCAGAGTCTTTGATGCGAAAATACTCCGGTAATCTGGCTGCCCATTCAAGAATTTCCCGGTCTAGGGAAAGAACGGTATCGTACGAGGATGTTGAGAGACCGAAGCAGCGTTCTTGAATGTTACCAATGATTTTTGCCAAATCATGAGCTAGGAAATTATAGACACTTAGGGTAGGCTCGGAAAGCGGCAGTACAGGCAGAGCTGCAGCATATTCTTCTGGCTCGTCATCCAGCCAGACATTGGTTGCCCGTTGGACGAGGCATTGCTGGTCCACAATTGCAAACGGACGGCCAATGGCCAACGCAATTGTCTTGTCCAAGGTGTACAAATGACTCCAGAGTCGCCTTCTAGTCTCTGTCTCTTTTCGCGGAAGTCGCCATCGCTCGCCATCGATGTGCATGCCTTGGGCTTGGGCCATGCGCATAGCGAAACTGGTCGTCAACCAGGACTCTGGGACTCGTCGCATATGTATGAGATAGCGTGTTACTAAGACGCCAGCGCGGACGAGATCTGTTGACTCGCCATAGAATGTAGGCGCGATCACAATGGCTCGTCGGGAAGCCCAGTAGAAGCGAAGAGATGTTTCCTGCAAGTCCCGCTGAACTTCAGCGTTCTTCGGGTGTGGGCAATCTAAAAAGACGCCATAAGCAAGGATAATGAATAATAATGCCAGCCAACGCAAGTCAATTGATGCGTAGTCGTCGAAGCCGAATTTGCGCTCCCAAAACTCGGCATACTTGGTCTTGAATGAAGCAGGATGAATTGCGTCAATGGTCCAGTTGAGCTCGACAATAAACACATCAACCAGCCGGTCAACACTGGCTTTGTTTCGAGGCAATATGCCCAGTAAATCCCAGATTTGTGAAAAAGGGCCACCAACGTCTCGGAAAGACTGCGCTGAAGCCGATGCATGGCGAATGCCAGATGAGAGATCCGGTGCAGGTTCTTCGATTATCTTGGCTGCAGCCTGGGGTCCGAAGTAAGATGAACCGAAGAAAGAAGGAGCATCTCTACTCCTGAACAGATTTCCGACCTGTGCATCCCTGGGTTCCGGTGAGGCCCTGTTGCAGGAAGCAGAAGCCTGGGTACCTTGATATAGTTTTAGTTAGGAGGTCTTGCTACAAGATTTAGACAGCCTAGCCGCAACTCACTCGCAGCAGTTCCAACGATATTTTCAGCGGCAGGCTCTGTATTACTAAGGGTAGATACATGTACTGATTGCTGACGATGAGCTTCAGCTTCTTCGCTATATGTGCAGTCCGATGCTACATCGCGTCGTGTACAGTTAAAGCATGGCAACTCTCCATCGCACTATATCTCTGGTCAGTCGTTGGTCACTTGCCCTCAGTCATGATAAGTTTAATACAGGAGAGCATCCAGTGTGTCGTCAAGCGGACCAACGTGAATCTTGGAGCTCATGGGATTCTTTCATACGACGTCACCGCGGGCATTCCTGATTATCTCATACGTGCCTTTTGTTTTCTCCTGTGACATGTTACACAACTCTTAGCCTGTCGTCCTCTCTTCCTTTTCTTTCTTAACGGCTCACTGTCAATTCTCTCCACTCGGTCTCCGGTACGCTCATCCATTGTGGAACACAGCAATTTCCCAGATGATGCAGAAGAATTTGCCGATAAGCATCCGCTTAAAACTGATACGACCTAACGACCAGGGTTGCGACATACGTTTATCTTATCCGCAGTCCATGTTACAGTGGGTCGCTGCGAGTTTAGCGTGCCTACACCACCCAGATTGGCAAGGCGGGCGACATCCCCGCGTCGGCCAAATGTCTATCATAGATCGGTAAATACACTTGATAAACCGTCATACCTACACCTGATATTACAATGTTGTATATCTGCAGCGAATGCGCCTGTATGGGCTTTCGATCTCATTTTGGGTCTCAGTCACGTCTTTTGCGCCATGTCGGATTCAATGCATGACACCAAAGTCACGGATGGCTCGCTTTGCGAGAAGGATATCCAAGCTGAATCAAGTGAAGAAATCCAAATCGATCCGATCGCAGAAAAAAAGGTAATGACTTGTTGTGTTTCAACCAAAGTCATGTACTGACTAAACAGCTTATCCGCAAGTTGGACCTCATCCTATCACCTATGATGGTTATAGTGTTCTTGGTAAGAAATCTCCATTCTACTGGGTAATTCTTCAAGATTGACTAACTCATCTTAGGTGGCCTACCTTGACCGTTCCAACGTCGGTATATACTCGCCCTGATGTAGTCACGACGTAGCTTTCGCTAACTTATACTAGGAAATGCTGCTATTGCAGGTATGAATGAGGACCTGAACCTTACCGGCAACCGTCTCAATGTCGCCGTGACCCTTTTCTATGTGACATATATCGCATTCGAACTCCCTTCGTCACTTCTGCTGAAGCGACTACGCCCGTCTCGTCTGATCCCTTTCTTCATCATCAGCTGGAGCGCTGTCATCATTGGGGCTGCATTTGTCCAGAGTTATGCTTCTCTCATTGCTACACGCCTTCTATTAGGTGCCTTTGAATCTGGGCTGGTAAGAGATACATGTACGAAATGTACGTGAGACATACGCTAACTTTGTACCCGTGTCTCGACAGTTTCCCTGTCTCACCTTGTACCTCAGCATGTACTACAGGCCCCTAGAGCAAGCTCGAAGAGTATCGTATCTTTTTGTTGCATCTGCCTTGAGCGGCGCTTTCGGTGGACTACTGGCGTACGGCTTGACAAACCTGCATGGTGCAAGAGGTCTTGCTGGGTATGTACTCCACTATTCAAATTGACCTTAGACGATGAACTAACAATCCCTTAAGCTGGCGTTGGCTGTTTCTCGTCGAGGGACTCATTTCGATTGTCGTAGGGTTTGCAATGATTTTCCTTCTTCCTGACAATTTTGAGACTGCATGGTGGCTGAATGAGGACGAAAAGGCGCTCCTTCGCGCTAGACACGAAAAAGAACGACTCTACCAAGGCAAATCGATGACAACGGATGCCATGGACAAAACCGAAGTCAAACTGGCATTCAAGGACCCCAAGCTATGGCTGAGCGCTGCATGTCAATTTTGCGCAAACACCTGCTCCTTTGGTTTCTCGACGTTTCTTCCTGTAATCATCCGTGGATTCGGATACTCAAGCATCCGCACTCAGCTTTTGACAGTACCAGTATACATCTGGGCCTCGGCGGTGTATCTCTTTATCGCTTTCTGCTCGGACTATGTCAATCGCCGCGCCTACTTCATGATTCCTTTGGCCTTAGTCACATCGGTTGGTTATGCTATGATGCTCGGAGTTTCAATGGCATCAACAGGTGTACTATACTTTGCAACGTTTGTTACGGCCACCGGCATTTTCTGCTGTGTTGGACTTAACGTTACATGGGTTATCAACAGCAATGCTGGGTACTTCAAGCGCGCTACCGCTATTGGTCTGCAACAAGCCATTGGTAACTCAGCGGGCATCATGGCTGGTCAGATCTACCGTCTCTCCAATAGCGATGGTCGATACGTAATTGGCCATGCGATATCCATCTGTGCAATCACAATAGCAGCTTGCGGGTACGGCATCATGTACATTGTGCTTCGCAAGATCAACAGGAAGAGGGAGAGAATGACTATTGAAGAAAGGATCAGGGAGATTGACTCTGGGAAATTGGGCGATCGTCACCCGGATTTCCGTTATACTTTATAACTTATTATCAATATGGTTCAATACATAGTAATGGACACATCAGCAGTTCAGAAACGGTTTCATTTTGTTCATTCCGCAGTTCTACACCTACGGTTTTGCATCGATTCCCTTGAACGTCTTCGTGATGTTGGTAATAGCCTCCTCGACAGGTAATCTCTCCATGGAACTCGCACCATAGAAGCCATGCACATCCTTCGTCCGACTAATAACATACTCTGCATCCTCTGGCTTCGCAATCGGACCCCCATGACACAAAATAATAACGTCATCCTTGATCTCCGTCGCCGCATCCCGAATCTCCTGAATCAACTTCACACACTCATCCAGACTCTTCCCCGTCGCCGCCCCAATACTCCCCGACGTAGTCAATCCCATATGCGCAACTAGCACATCCGCCCCCGCATTCGCCATCTTCTTCGCCTCCTCAACGTTAAACACATACGGCGTAGTCAAAAGATCCATCTCCCGCGCCATCTTGACAACCTCGACTTCAGCATCATACGACATACCTGTCTCCTCTAGATTCTGGCGAAACGTCCCATCAATCAAGCCTACAGTCGGGAAATTCTGGATCCCCGCGAACCCGAGATCCTTGAGCTGCTTCAGGAAACGCGACATGTCGCGGAAAGGGTCTGTGGCGCAGACACCTGCTAGCACGGGTGTTGATTTGACGATGGGGAGGACTTCGCCGGCCTATGAAGTTATCAGCCACCAATATATATATACCTTTTTCTTTGAAAGATAAAATTGAGATCCGGGTGCGTGTGTAGAACTTACCATCTCGAGCACGACATCATTCGCATTACCGTACGGCATTAATCCAGCCAGCGACCCGCGCCCCGCCATGCGGTATCTCCCGCTGTTGTATATTATAATCAGATCACCGCCACCTGCTTCGATGAATTTGGCGCTGAGACCGATACCCGCACCAGCGCCGACGATGATTTTTCCATTTTTGATTTGAGAACGGAGGTTCTGTAGGATAGATGTGCGGTCGTTTGGTGGAGACATAGCTGATATGTTCCAAATAATCGAAATTGCGGGAGATTAGACGATGCCCGTGATTTTGAAGACGATTGCGGCGATCACGTCGGTTCTAAGGACGATTGAGGAAGTGTACGTAGTATGTGATGACGTCATTTCTGGCGCGGGGATTGCATGCATACATTACATGAGGATGACTTACTTGGGACCCACTGGTGTTCCCGTGGAGTTGAGTTTACCACACCTATCCTTTATCTATATCTATCGCCATGTCTCCTTCACCTTGCGTTGCACTCATCGGTACCTGTGATACGAAACTGGAAGAGTTGCTTTTTCTGCGTGATAGCATTCAGCAGAATGATGCCAGTGTAGTTCTTATTGATGTGGGCCGCAACCCCATCGAACATGGAGCCATCGGCATTACCCAACAGAAGCTACTTGATGATTTTGGAGATGGGAAAAAGGTCGGCGACCTCCCGCGAGGCGAGGTCATCAAGATCATGGCGGGCTGCGCTACAAAGGCCGTCAAGAAGCTTTATGGGGAAGGAAAGATTCATGGCTTGATCAATGCAGGTGGCTCGGGTGGTACATCGCTCGCTGCAGAAGTTATGAGAAACGCCCTACCTATCGGCTTTCCGAAGCTGATTGTTTCAACCGTAGCGAGCGGCGACACTGGCCCGATTGTTGGAGAAACGGATATCACGATGATGTACAGCGTTGTTGATGTGGCCGGCTTGAACCAAGTTCTTCGAAATGTCCTTAGCAATGCTGGAGCCGCCATTGCTGGTATGTCTCGGGCATATGCATCAAACGGTAGGGATATAGCTCAGCTGCAGAAAAAGCGTGTAGGCATCACGATGTTTGGTGTCACCACTCCGGCTGTAGATGCGATTCGAAGACATTTGGAGGCCAACTACGACATCGAAACATATGTGTTCCATGCCACAGGGCACGGCGGGAAGGCCATGGAGCGACTTGTTCGAGAAGGAGGCCTCGACGCAGTGCTCGATCTTACAACGACAGAGATATGCGATCACCTTACCGGTGGTGTCATGAGTGCAGGAGAACATCGCCTGGAAGCTGCTGCAGAGGCTGGGATACCAACTGTTGTATCTGTGGGTGCTACAGATATGACGAATTTCGGCCCAAAGAGTACCGTCCCGGAGCGCTACAAGGACCGCAAGCTATATGAGCATAACCCAGTTGTGACGCTGATGAGGACGTCAGAGAGTGAAGCTAGACAAGTCGGCGGATTCATCGCGAGTCAGCTGAAGAAGCGTGCAAAGGTTCCACAGGCGGTGCAGATTTGGCTCCCAAGAGGAGGAATCAGCATGATTGCAACACCAGGAGGGCCGTTCGAAGATACGGAAGCTGATGCTGCGCTCTTCGATGCTATTAAGAACGGTCTTCAAGGAAGTGGAATTGACATCGTGGAAGACGACCGAGCAATCAACGACGAAGGATTCGCGCATGATATCGCCGAGGCTTTGGTTGCAAAGATGGGGATTGATCGCAAAACCACCTGATACGACTGTAACGAGGCTGTGTCTATTTTCCAACTGCACAGCCAATGCCATGCATCTCAAAGGATTTTTTCAGGCAGAAAATAGAATATGTGGCGCTGAAGCTCGGATGGCAAGCCCCTTGGTGCCTAGAACAGGCACCCCTTTGGAATTAAGGCGTGCTGCATCAATTTAACGGCAGAACAACTACCATTGGTCGTATCGTCAAGCGCCACGGCTCAGGTCCACGCGAAAAGCACTAGAAGAATGTCAAACCGCCCTCTGCCATAACCAGGAGACTAAACTCACGGCTTCTTCGTTCCTTGCGGCCTCATTTCTTGCCTTTCTGTAACCACAGTCACTCGTTTTCGTGTTCTTGCTGCTTTTCACAATGTTTGCACGCACAGCCGTGCTATCGCTTGCCTTTTCGTGCCTCTATGGCAACGTCGCAGCCATTGAATTGGACATTAACAGTAGAGGTAACATGGCGCGTTTTCTCACATGCCGAACCAACCCCTAACATTTGCAGATTCAATTGTCGATGCTGCAAAGAGCCTGGCAGGTGGCATCGTAAAATACTACAACGCAAGTGTTTCTGAATCTGGAATCCCTGGAGTTTTCCCCGAGGAGTACTATTGGTGGGAAGCTGGTATCGTGCTTGATGGGCTGATCGGATATTCAAGTTTGACTGGCGATAAGCAATACGACTCGTTAGTCTCGGAGGGTATTCAATGGCAGCGAGGCAACAACTACGCCTTCATGGCGCGGAATCAGACGGCTTCTATGGGCAACGACGACCATTGCGCATGGGGCCAGGCAGCGATGAGTGCTGCGGAGTTCGGATTCCCAAAACCAGAAAATGGAACATGGGTAGATGCGGCCATCTCTGTGTTTGACGTCCTTACCATGCGGTGGAGCACTGAATCTTGTGACGGTGGTCTTTCTATGGCGATCTTCATCTTCAACGAGGGATCCAGCTATAAGCAGATGGCCTCGAACGGAAACTTCTTTCTCCTCGCCTCTCGCCTTGCGAGGTTCACTGGCAATGGCACCTATGCTGAATGGGCCGAGAAGATCTTTGACTGGACACACGAAAAGGGCTTCATCACGGATGACTACGATATTTACGACGGTGCCGATGGAGAAAAGAATTGCACTGATTTCAACCGAATTCAATTTACCTATAACCACGGGCTTTTCACTGAGGGCGCGGCTGTCCTATACAACATCGTAAGCACATTCTCATACATGTATTTGAACAGCCACTAATCCGTTTGTTAGACGAATGGTAAGCAAAAATGGGCCGACGCAGTCGAGGGATTTGTAAATTCTACATCTCGCTTCATTGAAAACGACGTTCTCGTAGAGACCGCTTGCGAAAACAACGGCAAATGCTCCGTGGATCAACGGGCCTTCAAAGGCGTTGCGGCTCGTTCGTATGCCCGCGCTGCAGTTGCTGCACCTGCTCTGACGGATCCTCTGACTTTGATGTTGGAGAAGTCGGCCGAAGGCGCAGCGAGGGATTGTAGCAAGAGTCAGGGAGGGACGGGCGATGTTTCATGCTCACTGAGTTGGGTGAATCAAGAAAGCATGTGGGAGTATAACACTGCTAGCGATGGGAACTTGGGTGAGGTGTTCGGTGCAATGGAGGTCGTGCAAGGCTTGTTGTATTCGCAGGCAAAGATCCAAGGATCCAATGCTACTGGCAGCCCGGTAGAGGACGGTGAAGCTTCAAAACCGTCGGGCGGTGCTGCGGGTGCTGCAGGCACCATGACGGCCAGTATTACGGTTGTCTTGGCTGCTGCGATAGCCGCGGCTCTGCTGTGCTAGTCACATGAACTTGGTGTATTGTAGTGTAGGAATCCAGATAACAGACCCCGGCCACTTATTATCATACGGTCAGCACGTGATGGGGGTTGAGTTTCCCGAAACGCGCATCGATTCCCCGAGAAAGAGCTAAGCATGCCAAGTCTCGCAATTGCAGCCAATGGAAGCGGGGCATGTGTTTAGTGGGCCTGTCTTCGGAATGCGATCTTTCGGCTATCGTTCCAGCCCATCCGCTGTCATCCCCTCCCTTTTCTTCTTTTAAGCCTTTAGACGCCGGCTCCTACGCGCGTTGACAATGGTATCAGTCATGGATCTCCTACCGTTTGCAGTAGCCTTGGTCGCCATTGTGGGTGGCTACCTGGTATACTCCAGCAGCAGTAGCGGTAAGAGCATCCCAACACAACCAAAAGAAACACTTGAAACTAAACCCACCCAGCACCCCGCAAAGTGCTCAAGCCCACCGAGTTCCAGGAGTTTGAACTCGAGCACAAGCAAGTCATCTCGCATAACACGGCGATTTACCGCTTCAAGCTGCCCCGTCCAACTGATATCCTCGGCCTCCCCATCGGCCAGCACATTTCTCTCGCCGCCACGATCCCCGGCCAGCCCAAGGAAGTCGTCCGCTCGTACACCCCCATCACCTCCGACGAAGACAAGGGCCATGTCGACCTCATCATCAAGTCATACCCTACCGGCAACATCTCCAAATACGTAACCGAACTCAAGATCGGCGATAAGATGAAGATCCGAGGCCCCAAGGGCGCCATGGTATACACCCCCAACTTGGTCAGACACTTTGGCATGATTGCCGGTGGCACGGGAATCACCCCAATGCTGCAAATCGCAAAGGCCATTATGCGTGGACGACCGACTGGTGACAAAACCGAGGTTGATCTCATCTTTGCCAACGTCAACTCCGAGGATATCCTGCTCAAAGACGAACTCGATGCCCTCGCTGCAAAGGACCCCAAGTTCCGCGTTCACTATGTGCTCAACAACCCGCCTGAAGGCTGGACCGGAGGCGTCGGCTTTGTTACCGCTGATATGATCAAGGAGAAGCTTCCAGCCCCAGCCAAGGACGTCAAGATTCTAATTTGCGGTCCTCCGCCTATGGTTGCTGCTATGAAGAAGGCGACAGAAAGTCTGGGATTCGAGAAGGCGAGACCCGTTAGTAAACTCGAGGATCAGGTTTTCTGCTTCTAAGTGGTTTGCTGGCATTGCAACGCTTGAGGTTGTTGGGTGAAGAAGATGTAGAGGATGAGATGATGAAGGTCGCCAACCTCGTCATCAGTGTGAATTGATAGTGTAACGTAAAATTCGTTTTTGCCATTTGATAGAAAAGACTTTTGAGGACACGTGGTCTCTCTCTTTCTTTGGGGGGATTTGACTGGACTTTTTTTTCCAATTTCTACATTTGATACATTCAGATCAGAATTGGAATCATACATTATCAATTATGTCTATTAATGCGCGAAAGAGAAAAAAAGAAGAAAAGCACATCTCATGCCATTGCAATCGCCTCAGAAATTTACTCTTCCTGCCACTTTGAGGATATAAATCAACATTCATTACTCCTCAAGACGCATTTCTTTGAAATCTCATTCAACACCCCCTAACCCCCCTTTACCAAGAGACAGACACAATTCTCATCCCAAGCGCCTATACCACACACACATACACCCATCAATTTCAACTTCACCAAAGCGAACCACAAACCAGCCCCCCCCTCCAAAAAAATCTCATGCAATAGTAAATTTTCTCTCTTCTTCTTCTTCTTCTTCTTCTTCACAATCATCACATGAAAAAAAAAACGCCACACACACACACACACACAAAAAGGATTTACGAATTCTACGCCTTTCCCTCTCCACTCCACTCCCCGTGGTATTTTCCCGCAGGAAATAAGAGAGAGAGAGAGAGAGAGAGAGAGAAGGAAAAAAAAACTCCAACCCCCCCCCCCCCCCCAGCGCAACGCTAATGCCAATGCCAATGCTAATGCTTTGGTGAAGAACAGGGAAAGAAACAAACGTAGATACATGCAAGAGAGAGAGAGAGGAAGAAGAAAACAATGCCAGAGTGGAATGCGAGAATGGAGGGATTGATGGGTTGATGTTTTTGCATAGGGTTGGAGGAGGAGGGGTGAGGGAGAAGGTGAAGGTTGAAGGAGAGAGAGGGAGAGGCACTAAAACCATAAGCCGTGCTGTGCGTTAAACAAACCCCACCCCCGTCGAAGAAAACAAGACGAGAGATATGCCTCATCAGACCCCGCATTTCTTTCCTTCTTTCCTTCTCTTTCTCTATCTTTCGAGGAAGGAAAGTAAAGGAGGGAGGAGGGGGGATAAAAGGGAACAAAAAAAAGATTTTTGCTATAACTTTTTTTTTCGTTCATATGTAGGTATCGTCACACCGTTCCAAAGTCATGAAAAAGGTAATTCGTTAAAGAAGAATAAAAGATATAAAGTAGTGTTTTTCTCTCTTTTAAAAAGAAGAAGACGAAGGTATTAAAATCAATGCTCGTCTTCACTACTCCATCCCCCATCATCTTCTTGATCGATACTCTCCATGACTTCTTTGATGACGCCGTGGCTTTTGGGGTCGAGATTCATGGCAATGGTTAGGTGGCGAATGGCACTTGAGCGGTCGTGCAGTTTCTTGTAGCATCTTCCGAGTAGGAAATGGATGTTTGGGTCGTCGGGTGCGGCGTCTTTGAGGTATAGGAGTTCCTTGAGGGCTTCTTGCGGGGCGTTGAGTTTGAGCAGGACTTGGGATTTGCGGAAGCGGGCCATGACGGAGCGGGGGTCGATCCTGATGGCGTTTTCGAATTGTAAAAGGGCGGGCTCGATTTTCTTCATACGGTCCAGAACCTGAGGGGGGGTTTTTTGTTAGTTGGTTGAAGTGGATAGTATATATATATATATATGTGTGTGTGTGTGCAAAATAACTTACAAGACCAATTCGAACAAGTATCATGGCGTTGTTCTGGTTGATTTCTGCTGCTGCCCTATAGTGCTTCTCGGCTACTTCATATTTACCCAGACGTTCATACACATTGCCCAGACCATACCAGCCATTGTAGTGTCGGTTGTCTGCACTGATAGCATTGCGGTAAGCAGCCATGGCTTTGTCAAACTCTTCATTTGCCACATGCTCGTGTCCTTGTAGTGTGTAAGCATAGGCGAACTTTGGATCCAGCTGTGTAGCGCGTGAGAAACATTTTACAGCATCGCCATGCTGCCGGTCCAGAGAACTAGCATTGCCGAGTGCACACCATGCTTGTGGAGAGAGTCGGTCTTGATCCATGAGTGTGTGGGCAAGGTGACCCAAAGATACCTCATCTTTCAGTTGCCATAATGTGTTGGAATATACCTCCATGTGCTCTAATGAAGAAGGCGCCATTTCCCGGATTTTCCGGAACGTGCTTCCTGCTTCTGCATAGTGTGTGCGCTCATAGTATGCTTTACCGATTTGTGCAAGGACCCAGGGTGTTTCACGCTGTGCCTTGGGTACGGCTGTAAATGCTTCCAATGCCTTGGACGCATCATAACGACTCAGATGTCGATAACCCGAACCAATCTTGAGAAGTAGGTCCAGCAACCAATTCAAAACCTCCCGCTCCCGTGATGTGTCGGCCGGTTGAGCCATTCTCGGAGGTGGAGCTACAGTTACTGGCGCCCCGTTTTGAGGCCTAACCTCAGGTTTCGATGGCTCAGACGTCTCGATATGTGGTTTCCTGTTTCCACTAACAACTCTTCCTACAGTCGATGTAGTCCCTGATCGTGATTTAGGAGCCGCGGCTCTTGCTTTTCGCAACTCACGCCGCTCTTTCGATTCAATTTCTTTACTTGATGCCATCCCTTGCCTGGGGTTTGATGGTCGGATCTGGGTAATAGAGTTTAACAACCTCACACTGCGCCGTGGTGGCGCCGCGGTGGGGTCCAGCGGCTGGGGAGGTGCGTTCTGCGTTTGGTGTAATGAATGGCCAGAAACGGTCCTCTTATGTCCGTTCTGGTATACGGGTCGCGGGATATCCGTCTGATCGCCGTCTGGATTCGTCTTGGTACGTACCCTTGAAGTGACTGCCCGTGACATGACAGGGCCACCAGTTTCAGCCATCATGACATGTTCATCATGCATATTCTGACCATTTGCCACTGGAGTGTCGAATTCGTGGTGCGAGTTGGGTTGCGTAGCGCGACCGTTCAGCTTTGAAAGCAGATTTGATCCTCCCATATTGAGTCCACCGTCGTTGGCTTGCCTTGTGTTGAAGGGATCTATTTCAGGTGTTCGGGCGAAGGGAAGCATGTCGGGTGTGATCTTAAAGATGTTGTGTGGGCGGACGACGGCGCCAATATCGCAGAGGCCGGTGAATGCATCCCACATGAAGGAATTGATCTTGAGCGCTTCGACAAAGTAGTCAATGGCTTTCCTTGTATCCCCATGTGCTGCGTATAGTTTTCCTAGTAGGCAATAGCAGGCTGCTGCATCTGGAACATGTCGTCGCGAAGTCTCGGAGTGTTTATCTGGGTTCTTTGTTAGCGGACTGGGCCCGAGAAGGCCTGTGTGTGGACCACCTACTCCAGTGGTTGCGCCCTGCCCATAAACTGCGCACCTTCTCCAACGCCTGGCCACCCTGCTCGCAGCGGCCTAGGGCGAGACAGGCGTGGGCGAATACGTAAGCGCATCCCAGATGCTGCGTGTGCATTCCCTTGGTGCGCGCATCGTCAAAGGCGGCCTTGTATCTACCGAGGCGAAGGTTGCAGAGGGCAAGCAGGTGCGCTGCATCTGGATTGCGGGGTTCGAGTGCTTGTAAACGGCCAGCGAGGAACAGGGCGTTTTCAACAAAGCCGTTGTCGAGATGGTAGTGTATGAGCTGGCGCAGCTGGGCATTGACGCCTGGCGGGGGTGACATGCTTTCCTGACGACAAGGCGAGGATCTAGGCTGGAGGGCTCATAGTACGAGTGGTCATGGGAAGAGCGGAGGTAGCGGTAAGACTTGGTGAGGGCGTGGGCCCCGGGGGGGTTGTTGTAGGGAAGGCGTGTTGTGGTAAAGGTCGTTTGAGTGTCTCGGTGGCTGTTCGGAGTGATGCTGGCGGCGTGTTCGACAAAGTGAATTGGTAAACACGGGTTTTACACAACTCCAACGGCAGTAGAGATCGGTATAGTTTGGACGAGTGCGTAGGGAGAAGAGACGGCGGCGGCGATGTTCGCGACGTTTGTTGCTCGCCTTTGTCGCGATCTAGGCTGCGCGCGCTTGTTATGGCGCTCGGGCCATACACATCACAATCCTCCTTCACAGTTCCGCATCCTGTTTTTTTGCTGCTTCACCGCACTCGCCGTCATCATGGCACAGGTACGTCTTGCACGCCACATCAGTCCTCCGCCGCGAGATGCGTCGTCGAAGAAACCCATCTCCCCTCGACAATCGCTCATGCCTTGCCTAGAAAGCTACCAAAACGCTTGCCGCCTCCAACACCAAGCGCCTTAACCAGACCCTCTACGTCACACTAGTTGTCCATGGCTTCTGGTGGCTGTTCCGAGCCCTCATCTTCCGATCCTCTCTATCCCGCAAGTCGCTGCTTCTCTACCTGCTCCTCTCGGCCCCGCAGATCCTCATACAGCTTTACTTTGAGCGTCTCTCTCGCCCCACCCTCACTGCCGATGGCGCCGTGAAGCGACCTGGCGAGGACCTCGATGCCAAGGGCCTGACCGAGTACATGTGGGATGTGGTTTACTGGACCTATGGCTGCATCATTCTGGCTACCATTATGGGCGACTATGCTTGGTGGCTGTGGGCTGTGATCCCCGCCTACAGTGCCTATGCTGCCTGGGGCACTTACTCTGGCATGAGAGGCGGCTTCCAGGATGCTGCAGGTGTGCCCCAGCCGCAGGCAAGCAAGAGACAGGCCAAGATGGAGAAGCGGGGTGGCCAGAAGGTCCAGTACCGATGAAGAAAAGAAAGGTCATGTCGACACTTGTACATGGCAGAGCCAGCAATGGACCTGGTTCGTGTACACCATGTCACAATGCATGCTCTTGTAGGGAATGTCGTAATCATTCATGCGCCCAATATTGTAGGCATGTAGAGTCGTGATCATACAATATGTTATACATCAAGGTAGCCCATGTCATGGACTGCGTAATGGTGTTGGGTTGCTTCCCTTGTGCGATCCTTGTGTGGACGCGTGCTTTGATCATGTGATTTTACAATGCGATGTACCTATGCTTCTACCCGCGTAGGGATTTTGGGTATACCTCGCTTGCGGTCCTGATGTGGTACTCCATACCGCCATCCGGCTGCCGCTGCTCCTCTTCCATCACGTCCCGCAGCCTCGACACTAACGTCTTGGATGACAAAGTCCCATCTTCGTTGGGGCACCACCTTCAAGGCCTTGAGCTCGGCCTCCTTCTTTCTCTCCTCCCTCTTCTTCTGCTCTTGTTGCTTTTCTAGGCGCTCTTCAGCAAGCTTCCTTCGCTCCTCGAAGCCAAGGCCTGCCTCGAGTTCACGCTCTGCCTGCACCAGTTCTGGGTGGGGAATACGCGCATCAGCAGGCAGGAGGTTGTTATCAAATGCCTTGCCAGCATCGACACGTGTAAAGCGGCGCGACTCGGCAACTGGCACAAATAGTTGTTGTCGTGTCGCAGGGTGCACAACAAGGTCATTAATAGGTTCATGAGTGACTGGCCTCTTGCCTTTGTTTTGTGGCAAAGAGGGATCAATGTATGGTGTTGTAGGAAGCATGGAAAGGACGGCTTTAGAGTAGGGTAATGCCAGCTTCTTCCCCTGTTGAAATTGCGTCAGCAGTTGTTGTCAAGCGAGTTGCGGTTTGTATAGTAGACGTGATGACGACGTTCAGCAAGAGCATGACTTAATTTTTGTAACCATGTGGGTGTCTTAAAGACTAATCGATTTTTTTAAGAAGCTCATCATGTCGTGGGAGGGTGTAGAGAAAATGTAACATACCTGTGCTACCCACTCCTTCTCCATCTGCTTTAATCGCACGACGGCGCCGACACGCTCGTTGCTGACGCCGAACTCGACGCTGGCAAGTGACACAGTCGCACCTTCCTTTTTCACTCGTTTGTATATCGCTTCGCGCAAGTCCTCACTCAGGACTGGTTGGCTGCGAAAATACTGGTTGAGGGGAAATGGTCGTAAGTCTTCCGCCGTTTCTGGGGGAAGCTTGCCATCATCCGCCTCTTCGCCTTTCTTGCTCGTCTCCTTGTTTTCAGCATCACTGGACCGTATCGCTGCTTCCAGCTCGTCCAGATTCTCCTGTGCTTCAGGCGTCTTCTCCTCTGCCGGCTTGTCTGCCTGAGATTCGGCATTGGATGTGTCCGTCTTGGTCGCAGTAGCGGCTTTCGCAGCGCCATCCTTTCGCCATCCTGGACCCGCACGTACCAGGTTGCCAAACTTGTCGTAGGCTCCTAGGTAGTTTGTTGAGTCGGGTATGGGTTCCTTCAGCTGTCGGCCAGGCCCATTGAGCCACTCATAGAATTTCCTCCGCCGTAATGTCACTTGGGCACATGGTGTCTGTGAAAATTGCCGCGACGACCGTACTGGTAACGATGAGGTATGTGGCCTAGCGACTGAGTACGAGGAAATTTGCGGGACAGCTGGTACTGAAAATTTTGAAGCTTGTAACCGAGGAGGCATGTTGGATAGGGCAGGTGCTACCGCATTGGCGTGGACGAGTAGAATTACAAGAGGGGAAGAAGAAGGGAAGAGGCGGATGGGTATAATAGGCAGTGATGCAGCAGAGTGTGAAGTGATGATTAGCTTGCAGGAAATTCTGAGCAAGTCGGAATTTGTGGCTAGCGTCTTGGCATCCATACACAGCGTAGCCTTTGCGCCTCTACACTACAGCAGAAATAAAATTGCACGGCATACCACGAATTGCGCCAATTCATAGGATTTGAGTTTGCAAATTCTTCAGCTGGAACGACTTCATGGAATGTACCCAGTCACACATGAAACAACAAAAGAAAGCATAGCATCACCATGGTCAATGAGGTCCTGCTAGATGCACTTTAGATTCCATCCCTAAACTCCACATTTGCATTTAAAAGGGTATTGAGTAAAACAAGGCCGTTGCATACAGAGCAAAAGCCACTGCGAGGGGAACATGAACGAAACGTGAATGCCAACGAATCAATACGCTGTAAAGACAGGATAGTGTCCAGCCCAGACATATCGTAGCGCTGCATGCGCATCTATCGTGTAAATGAGCCCCTAAAAAACAAAAAAAAAAAACAATCGTAACCTAATCCAAGTGCTCTCCATGCAAAGACACCGGCATCTGCATGTTCTGCTAGTTGCCCCCCATGGAAAGCCAATGCCCATTAGAACTTGGTCGCGCCGAACAATGAGTGCCAGTAACAAATGTGCTGCAAATGAAGAAGAGAGAAACAACATGGGGGAAAAAAAAGAACCCAAAAATACGCCCATAGCATGAACATGGGAATGTCCATGCAATGCGGCTTTCCTGCGAAAATGACAGAAGAAATACTCTGGATAAATGCAAGCCCTAGGACCGTGCATGGGGAGGGAATAAAAAGAAAAAGATCAGCAAATAAATGGGAAACTCTGTCCAAACTCCATGGGGGAAACCGAATGAGCAATCGCACAAGGGGGAATCATCGCTGTATGCTGGAAAGAGGTCCACGTCCAACGGGCATGATAGCCCAGGAGATTCCGCGCCAGTACCCATGCCCGTAGTTTAATGAAGCCAAATATAACCCAGACACTCAACACCTTGCCATGACCGAAATGACTGAAAATAGTGTCAACAATAGACGAAGCAAAATTTGCAAATGCTCTGTGATGAATGCGCCGTCAACTCCGTGATCATCACTCGTAATGGCATAGCAGATTAGTATGGGTGCGCCTTAGCGCCCCATCATGAATGAGGAGTAGCCTCCAAAGCCGTTGCCAGTGCCGCTGGACGCTAGTGGTTGACGCATAGAGGCGGCCATGTCGTTGGGACCCATGCCGAATCCCCCGTTGGCGTACATGCCAAAGGGAGAGCTACCATTGGCGTGGCTTGCCGCGGATAGGCCGGGAGGTGCTGACAAGCCAGGCGGTGGGCCAGTAGCGGTTGAGAAACCAGGAGGGGCAGCGACGCCGTTGCCAAAAGCTGAAAGAGGGGTAGTTGGGGTGATGGCAGACTGTGGACCCAGGCCAGAGTTCTGGCCACTGCGCACACCCAAGGGATTCTTGGAAAAGCTTAGGCGGATACCGCCCTTGACACTGTTGTGGAGCATGTATCCATAGAGCTCGTTGAGAGCCTTGGTAGCAAAAGACGTGTCTTCGAATTCGACGAAGCACATGGGACCGTTCTGCTTGGTCCGGAAACAGAGGCGCTTGTATCCACGCTGCTTTGAGAAGACGGCTTTGAGCTCGTCCTCGGAAGTATCCATTGGGAGATTGCCCACGTAAAGAGTGTTGCACGGTGGGTTCTGGTCGGCTGGATTCACGGGAGGATACGTAGGCCTTGCAAAGTGCTGAGAATACTGCTGGTAGCCGGTGCTAGGTCCACTGCTCAAAGCAGATGGAATACTATGCGGAGACATGGCAGACATGGTAGACATGGTGGGAACTGGTGACTGCATGTTGGAACCGGAACGAGGGGATGCATAGGTTGACATGGGTGGAGATTTGACTCCAGAAGCACCGTTGGTGTTGAGAGAAAGACTTCCAAAACGCTGGACGGGGATGGTGGAAGAGTTTGGGTTTGTGGCGCGGCGCTGCATGCTTGACTGAGCCTGGGGGCCACCAGTGGCATATCCAATCGACTCGTTCAGCAGCCCATCGTCATCGTCCGCCTCGTCGTTGATGACAGACTTGCCCAGATTGCGGCTCGCAAAAGACGTGTTGACGGGAGATGTCGGCGAGAAGAGGTTGTTGACCGGGAATTCTCCGTTGCCAAGACCTGGGGTCCCGTTGGGTGGGGACATCTTCTCCATGTTCTGGAAGGTGCCGTTGTATCGCGATGACTGTCGTCCATTGGCAGTCGAGGTGGACATTGAGCTTACTACGGAGGCCTGGCGCGCAGGTATGCTGTCGAGGGTGTTGCGACGCGACCCGACGGTGCCGGACGGTGCCTCGTGCATCAACTCGACGACCAGTGTGGCATCGTTGGTGGCATTGCGCTTGCCGTTTAGTAGATCGCGGGCTTCCTTTGCGCCCTCGTACGTCTGGAAATGGGCAACGGCACAGGCGAAACCCTTGTCGTCTGTGTGCCTGGGCTGTGAGAGGACCTCGCAGTCAATGAGGTCTTTGGCAAAGAGCAGAATGTTGCGCACTGCCTCACGGTCACTGTTGCTGGGCAGCTTGCGCAAAATAATGCTGTGGCGAGGGCTGATGACGGAGCCTTTATCCAGAGGCCTGCGCTCTCCGATTGCGCCGGGGGCGGGATAGGCGTGGGGTGCAAAGGCGTCGGCAGTCATGGTGTTGTGCGAGGCAAAGAGCTTTGGCGGCGACGACGAGGTAGAGCTGGTGTGGGAGCCGTGGGGAAAGGGGCTGTTGGACAGGACCGAAGGACTTGTGCTGCTGGGGCTAGGTCTGGTGGCCATGGTATCGTGCGTGGTGACGCTGTCGGGGCGGGAGTCGCAGGGACAAAGGACGCGGCCAGAAGGGTGCGACGGGCAGCCGAGAGCAGCGCTGGCAGGCAGCGGGAGACGGGATGAGCATGCGCCAGAGACAAAGAGAGAGAGAGAGAGAGAGAGAAAGAGAGAGAGAGAGAGAGGTCGTATGCGCAGGTAGAAACGAAGGGGATATGCGAGAGAGCGAGGATGTGGTGGTGTGCGGAGGGTGGGCAGAAAACAGGCGTCGACTCAGGCCAGCGATGGTGGTAGGCAGAGGGGCTTTTTGGGCGCAGACGCGGACTCGAGCTGGGAGCGACGGCGAGCCTGGGCGATCCGCGCTGTCGAAGCGGCCTGGGGGGGTGGGACGCTTAAGCCAATGGGCGGCAGGGCCAGGAGCCGCGCCGGGTGTCGTCAGAGGATATACGCACTTACAGGCACACTGCAGCCGTAGAGGGGAGGATGATGGTAGTAATGGTGGTGCCCAACTAGTCGCAGCTGTCTTGCACCTGCTCTTGTTTTTCTCGATCGCCGTGGTGCTAGTGGACGTCGCAGCAGAAGAGCTGGCACGGTAGGGATTGCAGCCTTGCAGGAGTGGGAAAAGGAGTGGTGATGGCAGTGGTGGGGAGGATAGTGTTGGAGAATGAAGACGTGATTGTGGTGGTGGTGGGGTGGTGGTGGTGGTAGTAGGGGAACAGAGCAAGTCAAGGCAAGGCAAGGCAAGGCAGGGCAGGGCAGAACAGGCAGGCAGAGACAACGGTTGGGGGTGCGACTGGCTTCTGCTTGGTGACAAGCCAGCGGAGGCGGCGCGCGTTGGGAGCGGACCATGCTTTGGGGGAGGGAGGGGGGTGGGAAGGGAGAGCCACAATGCTGAGCTAGTTTGATTACATACTGTGTGCGAGTCCTGGATTCGCTATCGCACTCATCGACAGGTACACACTTCTTCTTCTGCCGCCCCTCGCCCTCGCCCTCGCCCTCGCCCTCGCCCTCGCCTCTCTGTCGAAGCGACAGACGCCACCCACGACGCAGCGGACGAGTCGGCCGTGTCGTCAAGCCGTGTGTGTGTGCATGTGTGTGTGTGTGTGTATGTATATGTGTGTGTGTCGTCTCGTCTGGTGCAGCCGGGACGGGCGTGTGAGCAACGTTGGGTCTAGGCCGGGGCGCAGCTTTAGCCTACGCATACGTACTTACTTGGTTACTGGGTGGGTAGGGTAGACTCTGTGTGCGGCATGTCGCGGATTTGGGAGCAGGCTCCACAGAGCGGCCAGGCGGGCGCTCACAGGCTGGCGGGCCCTCGTCGCAGTCCGGGCAGCGGGCACAAAGGCACAGGACAGGACAGGCAGGAAAAAGGACTGGGACGACTGGGACCATGGCAGTGGCAGCGAGTGAGCATTAGTGCAATGCCGCAGCCCGCCTTTGTGGTTGTGGCTCCTGGTGGCTTCTGGTGCCTGCCCCAGCCGTGGCCGCGCTGGCGACCAAGCCCACCATGCTCGCCATACCATGCCCACCATACTTGTACCATGCCCACCACGCCCGGCTGTTTGGCGCACCAAGTACCGGGCCTCGAGCGAATCACGGCTGCGAGGGGCGCCCACTGCGAGATCGGCCTCAGGACCCAGTGCTGAGATCCACGGAACTGCTGTTCGCCAATGGCCGTCGCCTTAGGCCCTCGCGCCCTGCTGCGCAAGTAACCAAGTAAGTATGCCTCTGCCGCCTGCGAACCACGGCTGAGCGGCCTCTTCTTTAGGGGGGGGGGGCCTGTTCGGTGCTGCTTGTTGCTGCTGCTTGCTGCTGTGCCCAACCTTATCCTTCGGCGTCGGAAACCCATGTCATCTTTTAGGTCAGGCAGCAGGCAGCAGGCAGCAGGCAGCAGGCAGCAGACGCAGCATCCGTCTATCCATCCATCCATCGGCTCTAGCCACCAATCACCCACGCCCCAAGCTGCCCTCGGCATGCCGGCCCACGCCCGAGCCAAAAGCAACCATTGTCTCTCCAAGACAATCGCCTCTAGGCCTCTCGCCGGCAAAACCCCTCGTCGCCGTGACTGGCCACGTGCACCGCTGCCAGATGCATGGCGCTCCCGCTCACCCTTCTTCTTCGACTAGAGCCCTCCAGTCCACCCCCCAGCATCCGCGCTGATTGGGCCATGGCTCAAAAAGCCTGTTTTCCGTCCCACCCCTGCCCCCTCTGCCATTGGCCCACGCCCTCCCCATCCATGTTCCGTACATATTTACTTTGTCTCTTGCCATCGCCTGTCCAACAACCCTCTCGAGTCACGGTGCGTCAGTTCATCACAAATCTCCTGTAACCCAAGCCAGCCAGCCAGCCAGAAGGCACTTCCTACCTACCTACTCACCTACCTACCTACTCACCTACCTACCTACATACTTGACACGACCCTTTTCCTGCTTCATGACCTGTGCGTCGTTACATGCGCCGCTTGCTCCTCCAAGCCGGCAACCTTCCCCAACACCATACACACTCTCCCTTCCTCGGCCGCTCAAACTATCTTGAAACGTTATCATCCTCTCCCCCATGTGATAGTTCCATTCGCATCCGCTCGCCTCCTCGGACATTCATGCTCATTGTGCAATCTCTTCGCGACATGCACCAATCAACCCCCAACACCACCAAGTAGTGTACACCCAGCCAACCTCATCTCAATCCCGTGCATGATGAAAGTGGCGTCCTGGTAATTAGTACAATGTCCAGCGTCCGAGTGGTGCGCATGCTATCTCTGCCTGCTGATTGGACAGGTTTCGGTATTACCATCACATTTAGGGTCGGTTTAGTGCAAGGGGCTCAGCCGGAGACAAGTCACGTGATAACGTCACGTGCATTTCCTATACCAGAACGCTTAGTCGATAGAAGTTCTTTATATATAACTATATATATATATATATATATCTCTATACACTCGCTTGCAGAATCGGCTTCCGGTGTCTACACTTGGAGCCCTTTATCGCTACAGAGTCAGTCTCGCTTAGCGGAAGCTATGCCTAGTACGTTAGATCAATTCCAGATGGCTACTACCTATCAAAGCATCGGTGGCAAGAGAAGGGATGACGCATAAGGTGACACGAACCCCGTATTTCACAGCCGTTAAGCTATAATAATCAGACATCATTTTATCCCCGTTAGCTACTACACAGATAAACCTAACACTTAACTTGCCTGCAATAGCTAAAGACGTATGTACGTAAAGAAAAGGCATTAAGCGAACTTATCAAGAGTGACACTTATCTCCTCTAGCATAAGGTGAGATTATATCAGTTAGTATTGATGCAGCAAGAAATAGCAACACAATAGCATCTCTACGGTCGTAACAAGGCCTCAGCTCTATATTGGAAAGTAATTACAACACTCGAGAATGGAGGAGGGGCTAGCATCTAACGCGCATGTGTCAGGTTCGAACCTGCCGCATTCTTTCGAGGCAAGCAGTCGCCAGCTTAAAGGTTCGCGCAGAAATGTGTCTGGAATTGATGCAATGAGACATGCTCCTGTTTTTTCAGGCACCATCGATACCGCTGTTATTCACCTCACGATTGTAATTCGTGCTGCGAGAATGCAAGCCAAGGATGCGTTGGGTATAGCAATCGAAGCTCTTAAGAATTTGGGCATTACTGTCATGATGAAAGCGGCGGTAGTGTGGATAAAATCACATCCTTGGGAGATTGCTGCCCTGATCGTTCCTGTACTTCTTGCGGCATGTACACCTGCTTTCCTAGGGCTTGCTGGATTTACGGCCGGTGGTATCGCTGCAGGTCTGGACTTGAATATTCACTCTTAGTCGTCGCATGACTAACATATAAACAGGTAGCATTGCAGCAGGTATCTAAGCTGGTGTTGGAAACGCTGCAGCTAGTTCTATCTTAGCAACTCTTACAAGTGCAGCAACGTCGGGATACGGTGTGTCTATCATCTTGGGAGGTGTCTGGGGCATTAGCAGCGTTGTCTGCTGGGGACTCGCGGCTTGGAAGAAGGCGAGGTAAGACCCTGACCATGCATATGGCGTTAGCCATGAGAACAATTATACCGATAGCGAGGGCACGAAGACCACTAAATTGCATTTGGGATTGATGGAGGAGTAGTATGTTCACGTATTGAGAGAAGACACTTTCGAACTATATAAGAGGCTTAGCCGGCAACAAAGAGGTAAACATGTTGTCAGGAATAAGGCTATAAGTAGCGATATGTTATCTTAAAGTTAGGAGGTTTGAATGTTGTAATATTTAGGTGACTTTTCATGCAAAATAAATCGTTACGCGCCCAGGTGCTGTATACTTAGCGAGTCAGAGGTGGATGTGGGATAATGGGGCGGCATGTAGAAAGCAGAAACTGCAAGTGCATCGTCACTTATACTACATTATTATATCCTCTTCCTACTGGAATTTTCAAAGCATTAATATTTACGAATTAAGTCATGCACCTCTTATTCGACTGACCAAGCACACTATTAAGCGTAAAAAGCACTTCTGAGAACACCCTCTGTGCTATCGTAGATACTGCTCGGCTTATGATATATGGAAATTGCCCAATCAATCGCGATAATGCCTCCTTGTTCCACCCAACAGGAACAAATAGATAAATAGATTATGAATCGCAAATAGCAGAACAGTAGCGGACGTTGGGTTGCGTTGTATCGCCTTTAACCTGCACTATAACTATTAGAAGTCTCAACATCTTCACGCAAGCAGGGCTCCAAGCCTGGATCAATTAGAAATAGCATCAGGAAGGCCTCTATTTTAATGGGAATGGAGAGAAAGGTGCTTATTTTCCACACTAGATGCACACAAATTCGCAGTTGTCCAGGCTTAGACTGCTACTACAGATTGGCCTCCATCGCTCGTGAGCCTCCTCCTGATCCGAACGTTGATCATTTTGCTTGTACCCATAATTAACTTGCCATACTCGTCAAGACCAAGAACTGCGCTAGGTGAGTATATGATCGCCCTTCCCGTCTTCAAACTCTCGATTCTTCGCATAAGATCATCTCGATTCTCCTCTGTAATAGGGATATGACGTCTGATAGCTGAGAACCATTCTGGGCTCGAAAAGCGATGAATTATTGTAACGGAGCAAAGAGCAATTAGATCAGCCAAAAGTGTAGGCTCTTGTGTTGAGACAATGACTCTAGCACCGTAGTGCCGCTGGAGGCGGATAGTCTGAAGAATTGTCTCGTTCAGCGACTTTGCTCCCGGTGTCTTCAGCATGTACTAGTTAAAGTTAATAAAGGGAACAAGCTTTGAGGGATAATTTAATCTAATACTTTGTGGGCTTCGTCTATAACGATTATCTTGCTAGTGCCTTTAGACTGTAGGTATTGCTGAAGCCCAATCTCAAAGAGGACACATGCCGTGTTAGGATCAACAAAGGGACAGGACATATCCATAATTACTATTTCACCCGGCAGAAATTGTGTTGCAGAGAAGGTGTTTGTCAAGTCTAAGAACGACTCGAGTAAGCCTAGACGCATCTGCAACATGTTGGTTTGCGTAGGGTTAAACGTCTGCTTTTTCAGATGTGACTTGAATGTTTCGTAATCAAACGGTCCGCCTACTGTTGACATATTCCGAAGTATCTGCGTGACCTGGGCCATATAGAGAGGCACTTCTTCTGACTCATTAACGTTCATCAATGTAAACATGGTAGCAATGTCGAGGTTCTGGGGCTTTATTTTGAACGGCGTGACCGAAACATTAGGAAGTCGTAGATAAAGCTTTGATATCCGCACATAGTTTGATGGCGAAACCAAGACGTGCACTTTTTTGACATGGGCTGCACCAGGTACTCCGGCTTCGGGAAAAGCCAAGAAAGCGGCTTCGCTGATGCTGAATCCGACGCCATCACCATTAAAGTGACCATAGCTGAAGACTAGTGCAGAGAGCGGGTTTTCGAGCTTTCCGAGATATTTGGAGTGTATCAGAGAATTCTCAAGAATGCAAGACGTCGTATGAGACTTGCCGCTTCCCTGGACACCGCAAAGGAATATAGAAAACGGGATGTTTGTATTTAGGAAGATCTTAGATCTGGTATCATTTGCTTCATCATGCAGCCCCATGAGCCCATATTGTGGGAGAACATGTTGGGTGTCCCGGAGGATAAAATTTGCGCTCACCAAAGGTGCGTGCCGAATCTGGGTAGTCCACTCATTGGTTTGGTAGTCTTCAGTGTCATCGACTTCACTATCGTTCGATATGAGAAAGCCTGTGGCATCCAAATCGTATTCGCTCCAATGAACTATAGGGGCCCTAGATGATATGGTACTAGAAGAACCGTAATTTGCATTGCTAGGAGTCGGGAGCTCGTGTTCAGCCGTCGCTGGACTTCGAGCAGGAACTGACTGAGAACCGAACGATATGTCTGAGAAGGCCGATTGAGGCTTCAGTGCTCCAATTCTGGTTATGTTCTCACTCGGTTGGGAGCGCAGAGCGTTCATGTCTTTGAAGGATTTTGCATGGACAGGTGAGTCTCGCAGATGTTGTGTAAGAGCTTCCTCGCTACCAAACAACCGATTACAATCTTTGCAGTTGAAGGACTTTGTGTGGGCAGGTGAGTCTCGTAGGTGCTGCGCAAGAGCTTCCTCGCTACCGAATGACTGATTGCAATCTTTACAGCTGAAGGACATTGTGTGGGCAGGTGAGTCGCGTTTGTGTTGTTGTAGAGCGGCGGAGTTGCGGAAAGAGCGACCACACAGCGGACAAATGGACGTCATCACTGTTATGCTAACATGAATTATGTACGTATCGTACAAGAGAGAACGATGGAGCAATAATGCTCAGACCAGGTGCAATTATACCTAATAGCGGTGGCGCAGCAACCTGAAGTTGGTTAAAAACACTCCCAACCCTCCCATTGAAAAGTAACGAATACACGCGCTCATGCTATACCGTGTCGCAGTTTCTTGCATCGCATCCGTCAATGCTCCCTCGTAATGGCGTGATAAGTTGGCTCATTTAAACTTTACCGTGATATTCCGACAAAAGCCGGTCTGATTGCTGTCACAGTCTGGCCCGGCGATTCAATGTAAGATTACCCCGCATTTAACCCTACTTTGCCACAATTACACAGTCATTTGGACTGGCAATAACATTCAGATATTTACCAGACCTTCGTTTGAGGCCGCTTATGCTAGCTATGTACGCCGCTACAGTACTGCTATAGAAAAATATAGAGAGATAGGGTTCCAGTCACCCGCCCGGTTGCCGCGCGGCCAACATCCAGAATATGACACACCACTTCAACAACAAAAGACGAATCACTCCGGGGTGCCACCTGGTGTACTTGTCTTGGGATCGCTGGTTGCAGCACGCTTTACCAGAGCCAAGGCTGGCCACTCGTGACGCCTAGTACCTAGGCTGCAAGCAGCGCCGTAAAGTTGGTGTGCAGCTTTCCTAGAAGGATCCCAGGTGGTTTATAACAGGCACACAACGGTTCTAAGCGGCTTGCCCGGATGCAGCCACCTCGCCTCTTCTATCCAAGACCAGCTGCGTTATAGTCTACTTGATATTCAGCATGCGCAATGTGCTTCAAGTTACACACCATGGCGCGCCGTCCTCTACTCTTGTTGCCCCCGGCAGACGACTGGACTCAGGTTCAAAATCGGATCATACGGCGCAGGATGCAGAACCGTGTCGCCCAGCGCAATCATCATAAGGAGTACTGTGTAACAACCAACTCTCTTGCTTGCTGACTATGTGCTAGGTAGGAAAGTGAGCCGCCTGGCCGGCGGAGGTCACAAGCGGAAAGAAGCAGATGAGCAGGCTTTCTCGAAGCAGGCTCTGCGCTTGCAGGAGGATCAGATCCTGCCAGCTTCGTCGCCGTTGCAAATCAGCTCGCACGAGAATGATGCAGCACATACTGCTATGATGAGCTATGCGGATCTTCTGCCAGATATATCGCCGCCTGATCTGTGGGGTGTTGGCACGTTCGAGTGCGAACAGCTGGGCAGAGACGAGACTAGGTTTGAAGCGTTTCGAGGCACGAGTCCGTTTGCCGCCGGCTACGATGCGATGGCTGGGAAGGGCGCCAGCACTCGCGTGTTCGATAACAAGGCCGTCCCGCTAGCGCTAGGGCCAGGGTTGAGCAAGACAGTACTGTAGCCTGCGATCTGCGGCCCCCAGCCTTGTGTATATGGTGCAGGTTTGCAGCTATCTGCGGTGTTAGCGTTCAGCGCATAGTACTCAACACACGACTACTCTGTATACTGCTAGACCTGCGCTACAGCGAATACAAATCTAATAGGCGCAGTCTCGGCCACGCCCTGGCTTTGGCTCCTCCTGCTTGATGTGAATTTCGAGAATGCCCCTTCCCCTGCTCTTCCTGAAGAACTAATGTTCAGTTACCTCGATCGGAACAATGCCAACATTTTCTCGTCTCGTGAGACACTCCACCAATGCTGCTCCTCCTGCGCGTACACTCTCATGCACTTGCAGCTTCCGCTTTGCGCACGCGGCTCAATTGTCATCCCACGCAGGACACGGACCCGCCTGGTATACGCTAGTCTGAAAATAGTTAAACCATATAGATATGATGCGTTGATTGGTCTGAAACTTCGAAAGAAGACGCTTCGCTGATAGAAACTACTATTTGGGCAAGATTATCATTAAGCGACAGAGGCTTAGCGTGGGATCAGAGGTCGCCTGCTTACAGANACCGGAAGCTGCAACTGCATGAAAGTGTATCCCAAGGCGTCGTCGTTATCGTTACACTCTCACACACTTAGAGCTTCCGCTTTCCACACGCGGCTTAATTGTCATCTCGCATAGGTCATCAATTTTCTCAGTACACGCTTGCTTAGAAGAGGCTTAGACTCCATAGATATCTCTGTTTGATTAGCCGGAGTATGGAAGAGAAAGTTAATTCGTGGCATTGCTGACAAGAGCTAGCACTATGTACTCAACTTGGGTATGCCGACTTCTTCAAACAATGCATCTCAAGTCGTGTCTTAAATATGTACAAACATGATCTAGTTGCACTGCTCGCTGATCCCAAGCAGCTTGCTATGCTGTCGCTCGTGAAAGACACCGGGGGTTCATTACTAAAACCTGCTTATAGCGACTCACTAGGACTGCTTACATACTCTATAGTGCAGCGAAGAAGAAGACCAAGGTGCGGGAAAAGCTCGAAATCATTGCTGACGTGAGCAAGGATAAGGCGAGCACGGGCAAGGTGAGTATGTCACAAACTATCGCAAAGCGCGTGTTCTATCATTACTGCCCTACTGAGCCTGATACTGACTGTAGAAGGATCTTGTGAACTCTCCAGAGCTGTGTGTCCGTGTTGTAGCAGCAGAAACCAAAAGCATATCTCAGCCAGCGCCTATGCAGCCATTTCCACTCCCTTTGCTACAGCTGTCGGACAAGCATAGCACACTCTGTGCGCGTCTGCCAGCAGAAAACAACCGGTTCGGTGGCGGCGATGGTGTTGCTGACGGAGCTGAAACGGATCAGGCGTATCTGGTGGTGCCAATGATGGGTTATAGTAGTGTGGGTACGACCCAGGATCACAACAGCTACGACTACGGTTGCGACTACAGCTGCGACTACAACTGCACCCAGGACAACTTACTTACCCAAGGACACACAAGCTTACGCGCAATGACCACATACAGCAGTCTTATCATACAAACACCAAGCAATACGGCCGTAAGCTCTCCTGCATTGACAGCCATGAGCACACTGAACAATACGGCTGTGCCAGTGCTCGATCTTGATGCTATGCATCGGATTGCTGAATTAGCAAGACACCGATTGGTTGGTCAAAGCCCCGCCATCTGGGACGAAATGGCTGCAAAGCCGCCAACGAGACAACAATAAGATTCAGGAAGCGCATTGAGGACTGTCTAGACGACAAACAGGATTAATATGGATGTTCCAGCGTGAAATGGTTGTTCTTTTCTTTGTGACTACCTGGCTTGAGATTGTGGTGGCGCAACATACGACAATGAGGACATGCGTATAATATAAGGAAATTTGAATCTCATGTTACAGCTACCACGTCTGTCAAGTCTACTAGGTCTACTAGAAGTATGTCTACTACATATCTACTGTGCTTCTGTTTACACGTGATCGTAAGGCTGTGTTACAAGCAACAGCAAGAAGGATCTTCTTACCTATCAGAGTTAGTCTGTTACTATATTAGGCGAAAATGAAGTTCTAGCTTAGGGCTATCAAATGAGCTACTAAACTTCCTAATTGGGTAAGAACTGATAGAGATAATTAGAAAAAACGATCCTGAGGTGGAGGCCCGTTTTACCACAGTAGTAGTAACATGGCTATTTCTAGAACTCTAGAACTACGAAGTTGGCGTTGAAGATCTGCCCCTTTAACATCGTTAAACTGAGGAACTTCTCCAGCGACGCTAGCAGGGAGAACAGCCGACCCGTACCGGCCACAGGGTTGTGAGCTTCTGCGATAGAGGCGTATTGTATTACAGATACTAGCAGGAGCTAGGCGGCTTAAGTTGATCTAAAGCGTATGAAGTATAGCTCCCGCTAAGCGAGGCTGACCCCCCTGCTGTGAGAAAGGGCGCGAAGTGTAGATACCGGAAGCCAATTCTGCAAGCGAGTGTAAAAATCTAGACCGGAAGCCGATTGTGCAAGCGAGTGTAGTTAGTAAGACATAGAACGGGTATAAGTTAGGGAGCGAGTGTATAAGTTAGGATGCCCAGGAGTTTGCGATCTGGACGCGTGGGAGAGATGGCAATCTCGACCCCGGA